AGGAACAGGGAGGTGATCATACCCCTGTACTGGGCTTTGGTGAGGCCCCACCTCGAGCACTGCGTCCAGTTTTGGGCTCCTCACTACAAGAGAGACATTGAGGTGCTGGAAAGGGTACAGAGTTGGGCTGCCAAGCTGGTAAAGGGCTTAGAACATAAGTCTTAGGAGGAAAGGCTGAGGGATCTGGGGCTGTTTAGCCCAGAGAAGACGAGATTGAGGGGAGACTTCATCGCTGTCTACAACTACCTGAAGGGAGGTTGTGGAGAGGTGGAGGCTGGTCTGTTCTCCCTAGTGGAGAGTAGTAGGATGAGGGGAAGTGGATCCAAACTGCACCAGAGGAGGTTCAGGTTAGGAAGAATTTCTATACTGAGAGGGTTGTCAGCCATTGGAACAGGCTGCCCGGGGAAGTGATTGAGTCACCGTCCCTGAAGGTGTTTAAGAGACGGGTGGATGTTGCGTTGGGGGAAATCATTTAGTAGGTTGATAGGACTGGGACAGAGGCTGGACTCGATGATCTTCTAGGTCTCTTCCAGCTGATACGATTCTATGATTCTGTGATTCTAACTTGCCCTCACACTTCAGGAGGACTAAATATACCGTTTTTACATCAGATTTCTGTTTGCACCTGTGACCTTGTTGTATTTGTCTTTGTAAGCCCAGTAGTGCGCACCTGTAGGATAGAGGCAGACAGAAATGAGAAAACCCAGTACAGAGATCAGTTCCCTTGATGATACTGACTCTGTCCAAAGGCACATGAAACTTCCATAGGTTTTTTTTTTCCCAGAATATTGTTGCAATATTCTTATTATGCAGTTTCTGCAGGAAAAAAGGTGTTCAATTTAGTGTATATTATGTCAGCCATCTGGGAAATAAAGCAAGCACTCTGTATAAGAGAGAAACTGATGGAATCTTTACCCATTATATTAAGATGTACAACGTGCTGCTTAGCTTCCCAGCCCTATTCCATTACCCCCTGCTGTTGTATGAGGTTTGACAAATTGGTTTGTAAATGGAGAACAAAATACTGATTTTTTTTTTCAAAATCTTTTAAACAGATAAACCACTCTAACAAGAAGAACAACAGATACAGTGGCTGGCCAGCAGAAATCCAAATAGAAGGCTGTATCCCAAGAAACCTATTCTGAACAAATGTATACTTCCTTAACAAAGATGGTTCTATATTTTTATATCTATGACTTTTGTAAATTGCTTCCAGAACTCAAAAAACATCTGAACAGTAATTGTAAAATAAGTCATATGCATAGTTTTTAACCTTTCTTTCCTGTGTCAAGTTTTATTCTAATGTGAAAACAAATAGGTATTTTAACGACAAATGGAAATAAAATAATCTGGTTTAGAATTATGATATTCAGGAAATCAGTCGTCATTAGTAATTTTAGAGTTCTGATTTTGTTTGTTTGTAATTTATTAGTGTATGTTTTCTTTTGCTTCCCTTTAAAGACTAATATGCAAATAGAACTTAGTCTAAATTGTAATATAAAATCACTAGCAGTAAAGCAGATTATTTTGATATTAGTTTATTGGTAACATAGCTGCTGCCTGGAAAAGTTTGGAGATAGCAGTTACAGTTGTTCAGGTGGTTTTAGTGATGCTGTCAACATGGAATAGCAATGTTACATGTAAAGATCAAGTTATTTGAATTATTTTACCAAATTTAAGCTGCAAATCTACAAGTTGTGTTAAGTCAGAGCCTTCAGTTTGATATTTCACACATCTAACAGCAAATGCATATGAACTGTTGTAACACACGCTGAACTCAGCCTCATTCTTGAAACCTAGGGATCTGACTGGAAGACCCAAGGTTTGCTGGCAGTTACAGACTACTTTGCAGTTAGGAAAACTTCTCTGTATCTGCTGCTATTCCTTACACCTGTGTTTTTGAAAGGTACCGCCTTCTGCTTCAGGCCACAATTAATCTTACATAACGTACAATTAAATTCTACACTGATTTTTCTTCAGCAGTTGCCATGAGGCGTGGAAGTACTCCAAGTATTCCATTCTCTTTACATACTCAGTTCATTACATTTGCTCTGTTCTTCACACTCTGTGCAAGTATTCTGTTATTTTCAAATGGTCAGCAGTAAAAGGTGCATACCCAATGTGAATCAAAGATATGACTACCTGAGAACCTTTCACAGCACAAGTCTCAGCAAAAAGTCTCTCTCTGCTGTAATTGTGTTTTCACTTTTTCAAAGATGCAGTTGAGTCATCTAGACAAGAGAGTTAACAATCTGCAGTGCTGAATAGCTATCATCAGCTTTGCTTCACTCATGCTACAGAGTTTCAGTATGGTAGGCAGAGGAGCCTCCAGTACTTTAATAACTCTCTGATCTCAAGAAATCATGGAAAAGTGGTCACCTGAGCAAAAACAGTGCCCCTTTTTCAATCACTTTTCAGATTAGAAGCAATCTTGCAGAGAGTCCGTTTGAAAGTGGGATTTTGACTTTGCACATGGAACTTGAACACTTTTAAATGAGCTGCCTCCTAAGGAGGAGTAAGAAGCTTTTTCATGAAACTGTAGTTCTGAAAAATTAAGCTGGGGAAATGTTAAATAGCTTTGCATTTAAAAAATACACCAAAAAATCATGAAGTTAAACATTTATTGGGAGCGAGGCCACAAGGTGTAAGGACCTCTAAAGCAGATCTCCTACCTTACCTTCTCTCTGTCCTGTGCTCTAGACCCCTGGCAATCGCCAGCCGTGGAGGTCAGTGCGGTTGATGTCAGGGGACACTGCCAACCACAAGGAGGAGGTAGGAAGGGATTTGCTGTCGTCACCTCGGTCAGGTGGGTGCTGTGGTGACACGCGGAAAAGACTCTATAACTCGAGAAGTTATAAAGTAGGTATGATTTAATAAGCGCGCTGGTGCACGAGGGATCTCTCCTCCAAAGACGTGCACACCTGAACGATACAGTCACCTTGGTTATATGCAGTGAAAATTACATATTCATGAGACACCTATACATATTCATGAGCTATCCCGAAAAAGGCACTCAGTTCCGGTGGTTGGCTGCTCCTCCTCTTGACGCTTGCGCAGTGCCTCCTGGTGGTCTTGGGCAGGGCTCTTCAGGGATGAAGGCCGTAGGTCTTCCTCACGATGAACTTTTTACCTTAGTCCCAAAACTAGTTGTTCTCAGCACATTTCATAAGGTATCTTGTCCTTGAATTCCACAAGGGCCTTTGTCACCAGATGGTCCTTGTTAGATACTCTTATCACTAGTGTTCTTGTCAATTATTTTTGGTTTATGTTCTTTTACAACGAGTACTAAACAACTCCCCCTATCTTGGGTACCATAGGCCTCTGACTAACTGCCACCTAACGATTCTGAGAGATTGCTTTCTGCAAGATGTTTCCTCCCTTATCAATTCCCTTCACGGCTCACGGGATGCTACTCCCCCCATCAGTGGTCTTCACCATACCTTGTGAAACACTTCTGGGTGCTCAGTAGAGGATGTGGAATTACAACCATGAAATGAGGTTAAAACCTGCAGAACAGTTCAACTTTTCCTGACCCTAGCAGGCAAATCCAATGGGAAAACATGAGCTTTAGGTAGTGTTAGGTTAGGTAGTGTTACTCAGGGCTTGAGTTTGTCTGTTGAAGAGCAGTGTCACAGCAGGTGGCAGCAGCATCTTTCCAGATCCTCTGCATCTGTGTGTGGAAGTATCAGACCTCTTTGCAGTTACCTGTCAAGGGCAGACACTGGAAGCCACAGACACGGGTGGAAGTCACCCTGTCTTTCACTTGCATATGGGACAGAAGCCAGAGGCTTTTGCCTCTGGAATGCCAGACTTTCCTTTTCTGTGCTTTGCCAGTGGTGGGCTCCCATTTCAAATATCCCCACCATCACTGTCCTGCTGGTCGGCGTTCCTCACAAGAAGATCCCTCATAACGCCAACCATTTAAGTAGGCATTTTAGACAGAAGCAATTAGGAAAAAAAAGCTCTTGTTCCCACTTTTCCCTGCAGTGTGAATGTGTGAAGTACCTAGAAGTGTAAAGTACCTGGAAGAGTGAAGCATCTGGACAGAGGCCCTTTTTTATGCGTCCATTTAAGAGAATGAGAAGAGTTTCAGGGTTTTGATGTGAGTCTTAAAAATCCCTGGACCCCTCGTAGTCCAATTTGATTGCAGCGGTAGGAAGTATTGATCGAATAATAGGTAACATTTTCAGTTTCTCAGGGGTAACTGTTTCTTTAGGTTCTTTGTGTAACGTTCAAGTGGGACGTTTCCACTACATTTAAAAGAAAAATACAAGAAAGGACAAGTTCTTTGTTGAAAGATGCCCTTTTGCAGGCAGGTTGTACATAAAGCAAAACTCTCACTGACTGCAATCCACTCAAAAGAGCAAAGAGAAGCTCATGTTTTACTTATACATAATGCCTGGTGGGAAGTAATGTATGAGTATCATACCTCTGATCTTTTCTTAGCTGCAAATGAAGTGCAGGGGATTAAGATGGGTAGTTTAAATAATGTTTGAGAAACAGCAATTTCTCTTTTCCTAGGACTCTGCAGATTTGATTTCACTTCTTTACTGTTTGTATTTTGGTTTGTTGTGGGTTTTTTTCATTCCAGGGTAGATTTTCAGTAGCCTAAGAAATGTGGTTTCTCCCACTTCAAATCCAAACTTTACACTAGCAGCTCTAACATGACTTTTTCCCTCTTCCAAAGATGAGAGCATAGAGACATATGCTTTAGCCTGTCCCAGTGTCCATTGCATGTCTCATTAAAAATAATAATAAAAAAATATAACAAGATTAAAGGAACAGAAGTGGAGTAAGCACAAGCAGGGCTGGTTCCACCTAAACAGTTCATAGGCAATCACATACACTATATGCGGTATTTTAGGCGTCAGACACAACCCTGCCACCCAAACAGTAACACTAAAGCACCAAAGAACTGCGAGGAACTGACTTAATTTGCCTTATCTGTAACAGAAAATGTTCTTCTATTCCTTTCCCATTGTCAGAAGCATCATTCACTCATTGCTCACATCACTCTTTGGGGAATGATAAAGTTTTCTACTCTAGGCTGGCACTTCCTATATGTAGAGATGCATTGAACAGTAAATCCCAAAAGTACATCCTTCTCCCTTGATAGTACATTTCCGTCATGTGGTAACGTTGCCCTTGGTGGGTATATACAGACAACTCATCTGCAGTCACCAGAATGATGGTCTTGCAGCAGCAGAACAACAGGCAGCTCTGTAGTTTTACAGAGCTACTAAGCAGGCTTTGTGGTATGAAAGTGCTTACTGAAATGACACCTCAGTCAACATCTCTTTTTCACATAAAAACTATTTGCCTCACCCTGCTTCTGTGTGGTTGGAGCTCAGGAGACAGTGGAAGAGGAGACAATTGAAATGAGCACCCTTTCCAATTTATATTCCTTATATTCTTCATATTCTTTACATATATATTATATAACTTCCTGAGCTGAATAATTTTGAAGAAGCTTAAGTGTTTGCTTTTCTTTTTTGTTTTAAAACAGTTTGGGTGTTTTTCTTATTTTTTTTCCTTTTTCCCATTATTTTTGGTAGCTTCTATTTGTTGGAGATTTTATTCACATAATCACAGAATCACAGCATCACAGAATCACAGAATTGTTGAGTCTGGAAAAGACCTCTGAGATCATCAAGTCCAGTCTATGATCCAACACCACCACATCAGCTAGACCATGGCACTAAGTGCCACATCCAGCCACTCCTTAAACACCTCCAGGGTCCGTGACTCCACCATTTCCCTGGGCAGCACATCCCAATGCCTGATATGCATTCCAATGCCTGATTTTTGCAGGATGTTTTTTTATGTGTGTTTTTTGGAGGGAAGGCAGGTTCTTTTTCCTAGTAGTTGTTTGTAGGATTTGTTTCTTTGCTGGCTTTTTTTTTGTTCTGGCTTATTTGTGGGACTTCCATATATTTATTTAGGCAGGGCTTGCTTTTTTGGGGATTTTTGGCTTGGTTTTTATTTTTGCAATATTTTTCTTAGCAGTTGTCTGAGGATGTTAATTTATTTGGGGTTGGTTGGTTAGTTGGTTGGCTGGTTGGTTGGTTGGTTGATTTGTCCGCTCAGGGAGGGCAGATGTAAAAATCCTGTCTGGGCTGGAGAGTCTCGCTGAGACGGGTTAAAAAATACTCCCTCTTCTGTGGAGGGCCCCTCACCCATTTGGTTTTTGCATGAAAGGATGAGGAGGATAAAAGGGTTCTTCCAAAAGGCCCGGGACCAGCATCCTTGCTGGGCAGCCCTGATGGGAGTGGGACACAGCAGCTTGCTGTCCTCCTCCCAAAACCCATCTGGTTTCAGGCCACCTGCAAGTGAACTGACATTCTGTGGGAGGAAAGGGGGGGATGTTGCTCACAGGCAATATTTGCAAGTACCTCTGTCATTTGCCCCTGTCTGCCCACCACTGCCCTGCAGCACAGCCAAGCGAGGAGCCAGCCAGCTCTGCTCTTAGGAGTTGCATTTCTGTCGTCCACCAAACAACGGAAAGAAATGAAAGGAAAAGAGGAAACTGCGTTGCACAAGTACTTGCACAGCTATCAGAAAGGAAGCTGTTTCTCAGGTCAGAATTGGTTTCGTTTCATCTGATTCCTGTCACAGCGTGTAGGTGGAGCCTGCAAATAAAAAACCGCCACAAGTTGTTGCAAAGTTAGTACTTCCTGCTGCGGGGCACCACACAGGTACAAATTTCTGTTTTACTTCTTTTAAAATTAATCATGCAATTTTTGGCTCTTTTAACTGTTCATTTTAATAGTTGCATGTGAGAAGGCTGCATAAGAGTCTTAAGTGTGGTCAAACAAGGTTGCCAAGGGTAGGATTTGTTGTTTTCAGGGATGGGGAAAAAGAAAAGGACATTAGGATTGTTTCTTCTTTGAAGCAAGATGACTGAGAGACAGTATTTAAATTGGAACACATTTTTTTAAGTACGTAGTGCACGGGGACAGTGTTCCACAACATAGTCTAGCTGGAAGTCTTCACATGTAGCATCACAAGATTTGCATTGCTTCATTTTTTTCTGAGAAGACAGTTAGAATTAATAAATAACCCAGACACTGTGTAGTTTGAAATCACAGGAGACATCGGGGCGCTCTCCTGGCGCGAAACAAAGTGAGTAAACGCAAGAGCTCTGTGGGTTCCAGCACTGCAGCTTTGCACTCTGGGTTTGGTAGCGGGTTCTGTTATTATCCCTCAAGATGCAAAGCTGGGATCGTTAGAGGAAACGGATGCACCTCCTCTTCAGGACTGTCAGAAGGTTGGTGCTTCCTGCAGGTGTGGTTGTGTAGCATGGTGCTTTGTGTTGTGCCAGGGGAAGTTTCCAACACACAGGCAAGCAGGTTCAAAGAAAACAATATTTTCACAATGATGGAGGTAGCAGCAGCTCCAGTGAGGGGGGTGTTGTCAGACTTTCAGTATCAGCGTGTCATCCAAATGTTATGTTTCTCATGTGGATTCTGGCCATTTTCAGAAAGGCACTTAGAAATTGCAGCTCTTTTCCTCCTCTCCTTTCTTTCTGTGATGATTTGGCCCTGGCTGGAGGCCAGGCGCCCACAAAGTTACTCTATCATTTGCCCTTCTTAGATGAACAGGGGAGAGTAAAAACCAGAAGAGGCTCATGGGTCAAAATAAGGACAGTTTAATAAAGCAAAAGCAGGGGCTGCGCATGGAAGCAAAGGCAAACAAAAACATTATTGTTTACTTCACTGCAGCAGGCGATGTCACTGGGAAGCTGAGCTTCAATACCTCTAGCAGTTGCTCCAGAGACCAAAACACAAATAATGAAACCCCACCCACCACCATCCTTCTTCCTCCTAGCTCTCTGAGCTGACGTCACATGGCATGGGACACCCCTTTAGTCAGTTTGGATCAGCTGGCCTGGCTGTGTCCCCTCCCAAGATCTTCCCCACCCCCAGTCCACTGTTGGGGGGGAATGTTGGAAAATCACAGCCTCGGTGCTGTGCAGGCACTGCTGAGCAGTAGCCAAAACCCTGGGGTGTTACCAACACCCTTCTAGCTACCGCTACTAAACACAACACTATGAGAGATGCTGGGGGGAATATTAACTCCATCTCGGCCAAACCCAATACACTTTCTTTTATCGAATGTTGTCAAGGCTCAACATACAAAGAAATCGCTATGCCTGCGTGGCACAGTGAAGGGTTGCACCAATCTATTTAACCTTTCTCAGGTTCACGTGGAGAACAGCCGGCTAGCCCCAGAAATCTGTGGATGATGCTTTACTTTGCTGCTTGCTGTAGGTATCTTTTTTAGCTTGTCTATCTGTGTGTGCGCACTGCGGTCTGCACCTTAGACCTAGCTAAAAAAGCACTGGAGGTATAGCCCTTGCACTAAAATATTTCCAAGTAGTCACTTTTTGTGGCAAAATCCTTAAGTCTCAGTTTCCCATTTGTCACGTTTATCTTGCAAGATCTTTGTTGTTAATTTTGTTTTCTTTTTTCCTGGTGGCCTTACCACACTCTTTTTGCATTTCATCCTCTATTCTCTGTAAGGATAGCTAAAGATTGCTGTGTAACCTCTTTCTGAAGGGAACACATCCATGCTTAGAAGGCCATATACTAAAAACATTATGTGAATAGCTCTGAACACAGCCTGTTGAATATAAATGATAATGTAAAATTAATGGAAAATTGTTCCTGGGTAGTATTTACATTCATTCCACTAAATTGAAAGACAGCGAGTGGGAGAGGCAGTGAAGGAGATTCCTGTTAGAGACATTATGATAAGCACATTATTTCCTGTAACAATAGAAAATCCAAAAGAATCTAGTGGCCAGTGAATGGAGAATGCACTGAGATAGAGCAGATCAAGCACCGAGTCCTTCTTGAAGCAAGAAAAATCTTATAATTCATTAACAGAAAGAAAAAAAAAAAGATACTGAAATATCAGAAAAAGGGGACACGAGGAGAAAGAGGAGAGAACTGTATAATGAATACTTATAAAGAAATTAAAGTAGTTAAGTCATCTTTTATTGCTAGTCAGAACTGAGAAAGTTTCCGATAGTAATTTATTATTTATTTTTATAAAAGGAGACCAGAATATCTATTTAAAAATGTATTGCTTTAGGAAGAAGAAAGACTGTATGGAATTAATCTATATTTTTCTAAACTTGTTTTACATATTGAAAAACATATGCTTTACACATTGAAAGTGTATTTAAAAACACTGTCTCTGATAATGCTGTTTTGACATCTGCTCAGATTAGAAACCTGTAAACTTAATTCAACCAGAAAAATTAAAAGAACAGGAAGTTATTTCAAGCAAAAATGTGTTTCTCCTTATTTATTTTCCCAATTGTTTGACTTAAATAGATCTTAGTTTTGGCAGGGGGAGTTTAAAAACAGTCTAGCTTTGAAAATATACTGTTGCAATTTTTTCTTTAAATCATTCTCTCCAGAAATCAATTTCCCTTCACATTGAAAGCTTCCAGTTCTTCAGGCAACCATAAAAAATACCTCAACAAAATGTTTACATAAAGAAAAACTGAACAAGGAAACAAAAAAGTCTTCTAGTTCTCCCTTCTCTAACATCATGTCAAGAAAAGTACTTTTTGGAGAGGGTTTTAAGCTATGAGGGGGGACTTGATGTACTGAGCTTCCAAAACAGGTGTAAGACTTGTCTTGGACAAGTGTTTCTACTGTGAGAGAGGTGAGTTGGGCACACAGCAGGCTATGGCTTCCTGTTGTCCTACTCTCATTGCCATTAGCCCACCCATGCAGACCCTCCTTGTGCAGCCGCACAGCCCTGTGCTCCTAACCCAGGTGACTGAAATTAAACCCTCACATGCTCTCTCCAGCCAGGCCCAGTAGCTGCTGTATCAACTGAGCTTCTCAAAACACCTCTCAGCAAAATATTTCATTTAGGAAAATTGGCTTTTAGCAAAAACTGGTGTAATTTCCCCCCTCCACAATATTCTTGTTTACTCTGGCAACTTTGGGTTTTTGAAACCACGAAGAAAGCGTAAGAGAGGTAGAGAGATCTAATCTAGTGAAAGATGTCCCTGCTCACTGCAGGGCAGTTGAACTAGATGGCTTTTAAAGGTCCCTTCCAGCCCAGTGCATTCTATGATTCTAAGTGTTTCAAGTCTATCCTTTGGAGGGGCAATTTTAAAGATTTGAAAAGAGCTGTGGCACTTGATACCTACTGAGCGTTTGAATCGATAAATAAAAGTCATGTTTGATTTTCTCTGCTCTGATCACTGTTGCGAGCTGGAGTCACTCAATGCCCCATGTGTGACTCCAGAAATTGTGCAAAAGAGTGGTGGGACAGTGATCAGTAATTAGTGAAGCACTTGTGGACTAGGCTGTCAAGTGGTAGGCCAAAAAATCATCAGGCCATGAATGATAACAGTGTAGTGATCAAACAACTTTCTGAAAGAATTGCACTTTCCCTGAAGAAATATCTTTTTGCATGACCTTCCTTAGAGCCATCTTGAGGAGCTTCTGTAGCATCTCTTGCACCAGACTTAGAAAATAAAGGTCACCTGATGTCACAGAACATGACTGAGAAGAAGCTTGTGTGGGATCTGAGTAAGCTGAAGAAACAGAACAACGGAGAACAGGACAAGGTAAGGCAGATACCAGAGGAGATCATAGATCCTCCCCACTCTTACTCCTGTGTTTCAGTTTGTGCCCCAGAATTAATTCTCATGTCTCTCTGCACAATCAGCACTTGTTAGGTCTAAGCCAAGGAGTACTTGTGGGATCAGGCCCAAGCAGTCACTTGTGTAACTTGAAAGATAGCTACCTGCAATTATTCTGCAGGCATAAAAAATACAGGTGTAAAAAGTAGGATGCCAGTGGCCTAGGAGCCAATTCAATGTGCAATGTGTATCTGTTTCATTGATAACAATTACCAAATGTTGAATGGAAATCCTAAAAACTGAGATTTTTTTTACTTGAGGCTCTCATACCTTCAACAGAAATACAAAGAAAGACGATTTGACACTGAAAAGAGATTGTTTTCAAGTGTGTGTCATAGTTACTGAAATTCCCTGAGAATGGTTAGGGTTTACTGGCTAGTAAACATCACAATGAAGACAATGGGGAGGAGTTACCAATATGGTTTTAAAATACATGCTTCTGGTAATGCATATTGTCTTTCTCATCTTGAAAGAAAATTCTACTCTAATTACATCTGATTTTCAGATGTGGCTTTCTTAGACGAAGGTGATGGTGGGAAACTTCAGTTTATTTTTTTAAAAAAATAAGTTATGAATGTGCCTGGCCCATTAAGGTCTGTAAAATACTGGTGTTCTCAAAAATCACATTTCTAAATGCAGCAGTCAGAGTGGAATATGGGGAGAGGAATAGGAAGAAGAGACAAAGCTAATGTTTATACACTTTAGCTGAGCATATTTAAAAGCAGGAGGAGCAATTTTCTAAAGGACTGGAAAGTATTCAGTTTGTTTTAATGAGAATTAAGAGTCTATGTTAATATTTGGCACATGTATTAAAACCAAAAATGTTACAATAAAACATCTAAACCAAATCAATTTATCCTTCACCCTAGCCTAAAATGAGACAAAGAAAGAAGAAACATGATGATCTAAAAGATTTTAGCTACGTATTAAGGACACTACTGCAGAATGCTTTTGGTATCAACACACAAAATAAATCTTCTGACTTCAAATCAAAGATTTAACAAGATATTCTATACTGATTTATTTTATTACTGAGACTAGTCTTCATTTGTGTCCACATACTTCAGTACATCTGTAGATGAATGAAAGAAAATGGCAGTTATGAAAAAAATAAGTTAACAAAGCACACTTAGTAAGTCTCCTTTTAATTTTTATCTTTCAAGGAAAGGTTACAAAGTTTGGTATTTTTACTAAGGATGGTCATCAAGCCAATCTCAGCTGATTCTGTTGTATTTACATATACCTGTTTGTAACATGAAGGTACAAGGATGCACAGTGGTATGAAGTATAGCTTGGTGCCAGTACATAATGTTTACTAGAGAATGATGAGCTAGAAAAGTTGCCTGAAAGATGTTTTTTGTGGAAAAAAAAATCTTTTACAATATGTCTCTAGCAGACAACAGAACATCCTGTGTACAGACAGTATGTGGGAAAGGTCCGCCCCTGCATTGATCTCATTGACAGCCTGAGAGCTCTTGGAATAGAAAAAGACCTTGCTTTGCCCACAATTGCTGTAATTGGAGACCAGAATTCTGGGAAAAGATCCATCCTAGAAGCCTTGTCTGGTGTTGCTCTTCCTAGGGGAGATGGTAAGTATTCACTTCCTCAGGTTTTTATCTTACTATCTTGCTTTCACTTTGATGAGGTGGAAGGGATTTTTTTTTTTTTTTGGTCTGGGATTAGATAACTCTGTGACTGAGACTGTATTTAAATTGTGAGATTCCAGAGGCCTTCTCCGCTCTGGCTTCCAGAAGAAATGGATGTGCAGGCGGTGGCACTGCAGGGTAACTCCAACGAGGCACATGTTCTGGGTGGTCAAGAGATCAGGAGTAAGAAGAGTATACTGTAGCATTCTTGACCCCAATCTTGTGCATTTCCCAGCAAAGAACAGTGTGACAGAATATAAGTTACCATGGAAGACCAGTTTTAAAATTTGCTTTTAGGATTGGTTTGCGGTTTTTTAGCAACATTTTCTTACAGATACAATTTTTTTGGCAAAGAACGTACAAAGATCTTTACATACAAACATGTGCCTTGCATGATATTTAAGTCAGAGAAGATTGTTGGAAGACTTTACAGCTCAAGAAGATTCACTTTCCAATTCTGCATGTGTGTGTGTATACACACACATATAAGTTCTGCAAGTTCTCTATGAGTTGACAGTACCATCTAGTCTTTCAGGCTGGATTTCAAGAATCAAATTTTCATAGGATGTAGGTTCAGCACCAAAATGCTCACCCAAAGGGGTGCAAATCTCCACCCTTGGAGGTTTGCAGGACAAGACAGGACTGGACAAAGCCATGTCTGACCTCATCTAGTGCTGGTGACAGTCCTACTCTGAGTAGGAGGGTTGACGAGAGCCCTTTGGCAGTGTCTCTTGCAACATTTCCACATCTCTATGTGAAATATTAGGCAATCGTGTGTAGGCCACGCAGCCCATGGCTGTGTATCATGCATAACAACTGCTGGGAGAGTCACCTCTGTCTTTGGAACTGCTGCAGATAATGTTACTCCATGTCCGTTGGAGCTTAAACTGAAAAGAATACCTGCTACCCAGGCATGGAAAGGAAAAATTTGTTTCTGCAACGCCAGCACAGAACTCCAGGATGCCTCTGAGGTGAAAGAAGCATTAAGAAAAGGTAAGTTATAACGTAGTCCCCTCTTATGTGGTTTGCTCAATCTCCTGTGAATCCTTTCTCCCCTTTCCGTAGGCTGAGAAGCAAGCCCAAGACTAACACAATGATTGCAGCCAAGAGTAACATCAAGAGCTGAATTCAGAGCAGGAGAAGGTGGGGTAGCATAATATGTGTCTCTCAAGACAGTTGTACTACCTATTACTTCAGTGGTGAAGATTATAAGCCACTCATCCAGGATGGAGAGATAGATAAAATATTCCATAAGTGTCTGGGAGAAGTCTCACATTTGCTAGCCCTTGCGCTTGTTGGGGACTTCAGCTTTCCAGATGTCTGCTGGAAATACAACACGGCAGAGAGGGAACAATCCTGGATGTTCCTAGGGTGTGTAGAAGATAAATTCCTGACACAGCTGGTGAAGGAACCAATGAAGGAAGGTGCCCTCCTAAACCTGCTATTTGTGAACAGGGAAGGCCTTGGGAGGGATGTGGTGGTTGGAAGCTGGGAGAAGATCTGGGACAAATAACTTGATCTCTCAACCTCTGTATCAAAATGTGAAGAATATAGAATAACCAATATTTATCTTTCAAGGCACCCAAGGATTAATTAATGCCTACAAAATATCTTGATGTTGAGGAAGCATTTCTACAATTGACCAGTATTTTATCTGATCACTTTCATTGTGGTTTATGTACATGCATTTTGTCTCCATCCATGAGAGTTCATAAGGATACGCTCTGTAAAATATTACAGTTCACATTCAAAAAGGACTCCACATGTCCATGTATTACATAATAACTTCTTCAGGGTTTTGCATAAGGGGATTTAGATGTGCAGCTGGATCTGAAAAAAGAGCCAAGGCTAAAAAACCCTTCGGTGGTAGTAGGTGCTTTTCAAAGTCATTGTGTTCAGCTTTGATTTGATGCATTGTTTGAAGCTTGTATTCATTGCCTTGCTCTTTTCTCCTTGCAGTGCAGAATGCTGTGACTCCTACTAAAAGTGCCATTAGTGAAGAACTAATCTCCCTAGAAATTCAGTCCCCACAGGTCCCAGATCTGACACTGATTGATCTTCCTGGAATTGTCAGAACTGCTACGGGGAAACAGCCAAAAGACATTGGGATACAGGTAAAATTCAGTCTCTTATACCAACCTGTGCACAAGGTCACTTCTGTAACCTACCTCATACATGAGCCTTTGCTGTAGGACACTGGGGTTATTATGCTGGGCTTCTGAGCCAGTAATAGAGCTACTCTAGCAACGAGGCCTGCTTTTCAGGCAAGGACATGCCGATAGGAACAGTGAGGTCCAGGATCTCTCCTGCCTGCTCTGTCGTGCAGGAGGGAAGTGTCCACAGTAACCGTGAAGGAGCCACGTCAGGTGCCTTGACAGCGATATGGACCCTGAGCACAGTGCTGTCCCTGTGACCATGGGCTAGCCTAGAAGATAGATACATCCTAAAATGAGTTGTCTCTTACCAGCTCTGTGGATGTATTTGGCAAATTTGAATAGATCTGAGTGCTTGTAAGCTTTTCTGGAGCAAGGTGGCAAGTTAGGCCTCTTAGACATTTGTTGCTCTGTCATCCTTCCTTACAGAGCACATCAGAATCAGACCCATCCTGATTTTTCTCATCCCTTAAGGCATCCCAAAAGTTCCTTTTTGAAGTAAACATAATACACATTAAACTGAAGGAGACCTCTACTCTTCTTCTGGCTGCCTTTAGTAGAAAAGCTGGGGAATGCAAATACAGCTCTAGTTAGACAAGGCCAGTTGTGAAAGTGCTGTGCAGGAGCTGGATGTATTGTTTCTCCTAAAATACGTTTGAATAAGAACTTGGAATAGGAGTAGCCCAAATAAAAGTAGACATATGAGGAAAAATGAGACAAGACTGGATTGTCTGGTCTTTACTCTTTGGGAGAAGAGTGAATTAATTTCACAGTTAGACAGTAATCTTTCTATTCAGAAGAAAGTAGCAGGTGTGACATGATTCGCACATTTCCGTCATCTCCAGCTGCCTGCATCCTTCAGAGATGGAGGCTATAATAGTAGCATGCCAGAATTGGGAAGGAGAGGGTGTGACATGATTCGCACATTTCCGTCATCTCCAGCTGCCTGCATCCTTCAGAGATGGAGGCTATAATATTGTAGCATGCCAGAATTGAGAAGGAGAGAAGAGAGACACCCTTACCAAAACTTAGAAAGAAGAGAGTTAACTTCCTTCAGTATAAGAAAAACAGAGCTGCGTGAACCTTTGGTAATGCAACACAAACCATGAGAAATTCTCTTAGTTTGGCACTGAAACACAGAAACAACATCAAGAGATATCGTGTGTGACTTGTGAGCTTTTTTTCACAAATACTCTACTGAATTATAAGCCGAAGATATTTCCTCCTTTCAGAGATACAAATCTGAGATTTATCAGCATAATCTGACTTGCTTGTATACCTAGACATCACGACTTGTTTTTTCTGACATGTAGTTGCTTATGAAATATCTTTAATATTTCCATAATTAAATGGATGAGAGGTTAAAATTGATATAATTTTCAAGACAGGCATGACAACCATCTAGTCTCATTCAGGCTAGGTGTTTGGATTAATAGACACAGGAAAAGAAGCTGCATTCTTCTGTTGGTCCATTTCCATGCCATCCTCAGTATATGTGACATTTAATGAATCAGGCAGTGGCTCATGTTGCTAGAAATGATCATATCCTACATGCAAGCATCTGTTTCACTGAACTTTATTACTGCTCTATTGCAATGCAGATCAAGACGCTACTTAAAAAAACTATTGGCTGCAAAGAGACACTCAATTTGGTAGTGGTGCCATGTAATGTGGATATTGCAGCAACAGAAGCAATGAAAATGGCTCAAGAGGTGGACCCCAGTGGAGAAAGAACACTAGGTGAGATAATTTTTAATTTACAAGTTGGAGAAGTGCAATATTATTTTTTCCATGAATGCCTGATGTTCCATATTCCATGCCAGATCTGTGAAATCAGCTACTAGAAGAAGGGAGAAAAAAAAGGAAATAACATAAATTACTTGCAAAGCTTGAGATGATCCAGTAGTTCTAAGAATCCTTCAGTTTTGAGTCTTGCTGGCATTCATGTTATAAATAATTGGAAACTTAAAGTTCAGAGTTGCTGACAGACAAGCTTTACTTCTGCCTGTTAAAACACATTTGCAAGGCAAAAGGTGTAGTGGAAGGCCAACTATAGAGCAAGATTTACAGTGCAAAGCCCATGATCTGAGAAGTTTTTAGGAGAGAGAAAACAAAACGGAGAGAATTTGCTTTATAAACCATGGTACAGGTGTCCTACTGCACCTCTCCCACCTTCAGCCTCAGTGCTTGACTGACTTTCTCTTTGGATAACTTCACAGGGATCCTCACAAAACCTGACCTGATGGACAGAGGAAGTGAGGAGATTATCATGAACATAATGCGAAACCTGGTCCTGCCCCTTAAAAAAGGCTACATGATGGTGAAGTGTGGTGGACAGCAGGGCATCTACAACAAACCAGCCTTGGCTGATGCAATCCGTCAGGAGAGAGAATTCTTTCAGACTCACAGATGTCTCAGGTACTTCTAGCAGAAAGGACCTAATTGAAAATATATCAATATATGATTGATTTGCTGCTGAGTCGTCTTCTGGGAAAATCTGTGCCCTCGTCACAGGCAATGTGATTTCACAGGCAGTTTTGATCAATGGCAGGTGAAAAGGGTTTTGAATCAATGTACTTCACACATGCAGAAATAATATAACAGCATATTAATCTGCTGTTAGAATTTGCTCTTTTCATACACTTTTCTCTGTTTCCCCTCGCTCAGCCAGCAGCAGTAGCTGTCAAAAAACTCTTGCATAAAAGCCATGGTGCCCTGAGTCCTGGGCTGCTGCCACATCTGTACTAGCACTCCCTTTCTTTACTCAATTTCTATGGTAGAACTAGTGAAATCAGAGGAAGCATCAGTGATACCTCCTTGCCCTGTACATGCGGTCATTTCAAAACAACTTTTTCCTCTTTTTTGCAGCATTCTTCTGGAAGAAGAAAGGGCTACTATCCCTCATCTAGCAGAGAAGCTCACAAATGAACTTGTGAGACATATTATCGTAAGTAACAGAGGTGCCATGTTTTGTCATTTGTATTGGTTACTACCTAAAAATAAGTTCAGCCCTTAAACATTACATTACAGTTGATTTCAATTGAATTGCATCTTTACAAGCAGAGATAGTACTCAATTATGCTTCGTTCCGACAATCTGAGAGCAAATTGAACTGAGGCTTAGAGTCAAAGAAACCCATGCTCTGTCCTCAGGTTTGCCTTTAAGATGAAGATTGACAATAGGAAAATCATTTAATCTACCTGTAACTCATAACTCCTACCTTTGCAACAACAGCCATGATATTTCATTTTGTTTGTGAAGAGTGTTAATCAGCTGGGTGACAAGTTACTGCAATGAGCTTACTAGAGTATGGTCACTTCTATTTAACTGAAAATGTCTTCAAAATCTCAAGGTCCAATTGTTTTTGTGTCAGGAGGACAGAGCCAGGCTCTTTTCAGTGATGTCCAATGACAGGAAAAGGGGCAATGGTACAAGCTGGAACATAGGAGGTTCCACAAAAATATTAGAAAAAACTTTTTTACTGTGAGGGTGACAGAGCCCTGGCACAGGCTGCCCCGGGGGGTTGGGGAGGCTCCTCCCTTGGAGACATTCATAAACCGCCCGGATGGATTCCTGTGTGACCTACTGTAGGTGATCCTGCTCTGGCAGGGGGGCTGGACTAGATGATCTTTTGAGGTCCCTTCCAACCCCGAACATTCTGGGATTCTGTGATTACTGTAATGATGTAAGTATATTGGAAGTTTAGTTATATATACATGTATCTGTAAGTAATATACCTTATTCCATTAAGGGAAAATGCTAAAGCACACGGAATCTCTAAATTCAGTCCTGAAGAAGAAAAAATATTATTTACATATATTTATACTTATATAAAATAAACACCTAAACAGTCATGCTCAGTCAGTAATGGAGGGGTTAGTACATTCCCCACATCACCACTTCCCTGGCCCAAACTTTGAGGACATAGTTTCTTGCTCACTGCATGTGAAATGTGGCCCCAGACTGCAGCTACTCTGCCCATCTCATAGTGAGGTCCAGCCTGATTTCTCAGGGAGGTCCTAAACCCCTGCATTCTCTCAGTGGAGGACATACTTGCTCTTTCCTGCTATCCCACTATCACCTGTGGGATGAAAGGACAGTGAGCTCTTGGCCTCCTGAGAGCAGCAAAGACCATCTGCAGGTTTAGGTCACTCTTAGGGGGATTTTGTTTTTCTTCCAAAGCCAGGCATTTTCAACCTAACTAAATGTCCTTCTTCACTGTTTGCCGCCTAGGAAACTTTGCCAACACTAAAGAACCAAATACATGAGGGGCTCCAAAAAACGTTACAGGCTCTACAAAAGTATAGAACACCTAAAACAGATTCCGAGAAGTTGATTTTCCTCACGGATGTAAGTATCAATATGGGTTTGATCATGAAGCAGAGCGAGGAGGACCACTGGAGCTTGTGACCTCTTATAAGAATTCTTTTCCTGTGGTTATGTGACAAGAGAATTGAACAGCAGCTCAGCTGATTTTTCAAAATCGAGCATTGATAAGATCAAATGCGTTCCTGATATCAAAATATGTTTTGCAAGTCCATCTAAGTGTCTTGTCTTGGAGAGTTAATCCCTCACAGTAAACTGTCAGCAGAGGTGCTTATGAAGGCTCATCGGCCTTCAAAGATTTCACAGAAGCCTGGTCAATTAGAATTTAGTAAATGGTTCTAAGATTCCACAGAAAAACAACACAAGCCAACCAAACAAAAAAAGAACAAAACAAAAACAAACAAGAATATCAAATTTGTATTCCTCTAGCTGGTTTTGAGAAAAGAAAACAAACAAACAAAAACAAACAGGAGCTAAGGGCATAAGAGATGTAGGGAAGAAACATTTTGAATGAACCATGTTCCGGCTTTAATATCAAATGCCTGAAGATTTATTTAACATATGCAAGTTAGTATGAACAAATGAAACTTTACTACATTGTTTGCTTGTTCTTTAATTCATTACAGGTGATCAAACTCTTTAACCAAGACATCTCTCAGACAATATGTGGAGAGGAGCAGTTGTTTGGAAATGAAATCAGTCTGTTTGCAAAAATCTGCAAAGTGTTTCAAATGTGGGAAACGCTTCTCCTAGAGTGTGTTGAAAAGGGTAAGCACAGAAAACCACCACTTGCAGCTAACCTGAGATTCCATTCGCTTGCTTTTAAATCAAGACATAGCATCATCAACAGGTTGTTTTCAAGATAGTGAAAAACAAGAAGCTAGGAGCATTCATATGGTGTAGTGTTAGGCAACTTATGCTTTGGTCCTTGGGGACAAAGACCTGATTTGCCTTAAATGCTGTCATTATGGAGAGATCAGTGAGTGTCTCTCTTCTCCCAGCAGAGAAATAAAATCTAGACTATTGACCCTGGCACGGAGATTATCTGAACCAATCTTCTAAACAACAGCAACAAAACCAACATCATCATCATCATCAGTATATTTAAACTCTAGAATACATCTGTTACAATTCTACTATTATTAGGAATATTTTGGAATTTTGGTCTTTTTTTGTCCTTCTTTAGCTCTGGTTTAAGGTGTGGAGAAAGTAATTCTAAGTCTGAAATACCCACAACCTTGTAAAGAGTACCCCTTCCTGTGCATCACCCAGCTTGCTGTTTAACTGAACTCAGTTCTGAACTGTGGGTTGGATAATACATGCAGACTGAATGCTGATGTACACTCAACATCTTTTGCAGCATCTTTTTCGCATCTTTCATTTGTTCTTAGAGATGAAATAGTACCAGCTGCCCATCAAGCTGTGGCTCTTGAAACAAGTTCTTGTAGTCTTTGATGCTCATGTATGTCAACATCAATAGTGAATCTAAAATGATAGATACAAATAGGCTGCAGGACCCCATGTGTTGCCCGATCTAGTCGAGAGGTGGCGTCCCTGGCGGCAGGGAGGCTGGATTAAAATGATCTCTAAGGTCCCTTCCAGCTTAGGCCACTCTATGATTCTATGATACAGTCAGCCAGAAACAAATATATTATATTTGCATCTATGTGAAGAGAGACAGACAAGCAAACATTAGTGTATGTCAGTGCTTCTTATGTCCCAGCCGCAAAGTACCAAACCAATTAATGTGATTTTGTGGAGAGGAATGAGAATAAAATAATGAAGGCATGAAGAGACTGGTGTAAAACCAGCAGCAAGCACTAGCAGAAGGATGCAGCTTCTGCAACTGAGTTGCAGAAGATACATAAGGCATTACATGGCAGCTGAACTGCAACGGGGAATCCTCTGGGCACTTTTAGACTATCCCAGTTGATTTAAGCTAATACATCCGACCTCACAGTAGAGTCAAGGTAGCAGCACACAGCAACTCTTACAACATCACAGCTCCTGCTGGCAATATGCTACCCCAAAATCACATGCACGCATGCTCAGGTGAAGTATTTGCATGTGCAGCAGAGCAAGTTCACTTACATAGCGTGAAAACTAGAGGTAGATTTAGTGCCCCCTTCCTTGGTGGAAAGAACTGTTGTCAGCCACAACTAGGGCTTCTAAAGGTACATCATTGCATGTCAGATGATTCTGTTTAACTTCAGCTTCCTTATGATGAATGAAAGTATTAAAAATAGCAAATACTGTGGATACTTGAAGCCTTGAACTTTCTGTTGCAAAGCTGACAGATGTTCTTGTGCCCCTGTTACAGCTTTTTACTACCTTACCTCTACAGGTTCATTTTCAGACTCTGATACTCCCCATCTACCTCTGTCATATATCTGAATGTTGGAATTGAATGTATTTATAGCCTGACTTCTAGTTCCACATATGCACTTGATCCTTGTTCTTACTAACAAGGAGGAGCTCCTGGGGAGTGTGCAGCTCAATGGCAGCCTTGGCTGCAGGGATTGCAAAATGGTGGAGTTCAGGATCATTAGTGCAGTGAGAAAGGAGAGCAGTAAGCTCAGGACCCTGGATTTCCAGAGAGCTGACTGATGGCCTCAGGGATCTGCTCAGTGGAATTCCATGGGATAAAGTCCTGGAGGGAAGGAGGGTCCAGGAAAGCTGGTTAATATTCAAGGATCACCTTCTTCAAGCCCAAAGGCTATGCATTCCATCAAAGAGGAAAGCTAGTAAAAACACTAGGTGACCTGCATGGATGAACAAGTAGCTCCTGGACATTCTCAAATGCAAAAAAAATGTAAACTATAGGGCATGGAAGAGAGGATAGGCAACCGGGAACCATTACAGAGAAGTTGACCAAGTAACCAGAGATCAAGTTAGGAAAGCTAAAGCTCTTCTGGAATTAAATCTGGCTAGGGATGTCAAGGACAAAAAGAAGGCTTCTATAGATATGTCAGTGACAAAAGGAAGACCAGGGAAAATGTAGGACCACTCTAGAAGGAAACAGGGAAGCTGGTCACACAGGATATTGAAAAGGCTGAGGTGCTCAATGACTTTTTGTCTCAGTCTTCACTGGCAAGGGCTCCAGCCACACTGCCCCAGTTGCAGAATGGATATTCAGAGATCGGAGTGCTGAAGAACTCCCAGCTGCGAGTGAAGACCAGGTCTATAACCATCTAAAGAACCTGAAGGTGCACAGTTCCATGAGACCTTACAAGATCCATCCACAGGTCCTGAATGAACTGGCATATTAAGTCACTAAGCCACTCTTCATCATATTCAAGAAATCATGGCAATCTGGAGAGGTTCTCACTGACTGGAAAAGAGGAAACGTAACCCCCATCTTCAAAAAGGGGAAAAAGGAAGATCCAGGGAACTATAGGCCTGTCAGTCTCATCTCTGTGCCTGGCAAAATAATGGAGCAGATTCTCTTGAAAAGCTGCTAGGGCATATGGATATAGAGGAGGTGATGGGTGACAGTCAACATGACTTCATCAAAGGCAAATCGGATCTGATAAACTTGGTGTCCTTCTGCGATGATATTAACAGCCTTGGTGGATGAGGGAAGTGCCACTGATGAAATCTACCTGGACTTGTACAGAGCATTTGACACTGTCCCACATGACATTTGGAAGGATATGGGTTTGACAGGTGAACCACTCAATGGATAAGGAATTGGCTAGATGGCCACACTCAAAGAGCTCTGATCAGCGGCTCAACGTCCAAGTGGAGACCAGTGACAAGCGGTGTCCCCCAAGGATCGATACTGGGACCAGTGTTGTTTAACATCTTTGTTGGTGACATGGAGAGTGGGATAGAGTGCACCCTCAGCAAGTTTGCCGACAACCCCAACCTCTGTGGAGTGGTTGACACGCTGGAGGGAAGAGATGCCATCCAGAGGGACGTTGACAGGCTTGAGAGGTGGGCCCATTCCAGCCTCAGGAGGTTCAGCAAGGCCAAGTGTAAGGTCCTGCACCTGGGTCAAGGCAATTCCAAGCACAAATACAGGCTGGGCGGACACCAGTTTGGGAGCAGCCCTGAGGAGAAGGACTTGGGTGTGTTAGTTGAGGAGAGGCTCAACATGAGCACTTACAGCTCAAAAAGTGAACTGTGTCCTGGACTGTGACAAAAGGATTGTGACCAGCAGGTCGAGGGAGGTAATTCTCCCCCTCTATGCTGCTCTGATGAGGCCCCACCTGGAGTACTGCATCCAGTTCTGGAGCTCACAGTATAAAAAGGACATGGATCTGCTGGAGGAGGGCCACAAAGATGGGTTGGAGAACCTCTGCAATGAGGACAGGCTGAGGGAGCTGGGATTATTCATCTTGGAGAAGAGAAGGCTCCAGGGTGACTTAATAGGGCCTTCCGACACATGAAAAGGGCCTACAGGAACATTGTAGGGCTTTTTACGGGGGCCTGTAGTGATAGGACAAGGGCCAATGGCCTGAAACTGCAAGAGGGTAGATTTAGATTAGATATCAGGAAGAAATTCTTCACCGTGAGAGTGGTGAGGCACTGGAACAGGTTGCCCAAGGAGGCTGCTGGATGTCCCATCCCTGGAAGTGTTCAAGGCCAGGCTGGATGGGGCTTTGAGCAACCTGGTCTAGTGGGAAAGAGGTGTCCCTGCTCACAGCAGGGGGATTGGAACTAGATGATCTTCAAGGTCCAAAGTCCCTTCCAACCTTAACCATTCTATGATTCTGTGATTCTATGATTCTATAATCTGTGATTCACAAATCTGACCCCAAAACAGGGCAATATCAAAAACTTTCAAAACACTTTGACACAAATCTTTACCTGAATATGTAAAATAATTCAAAACAATATACCTCATTTAAGATGGTAAAGTCATAGAATGTCAACAAAGAAATATCTACTCTGATATCTTAAATAAAAATAGCTAGTCAACAGTTGATTCCTTGGAATAAGACTATCACTAAATTCACTAAACAGTGAATCTATAACCTGTGAATCTAACTAGTGAATCTATAATCTCTTTTTTTACATCTATGTTTTTTAGAACTCAGGAGCGACTGGTAGTGGCCAGTTCTGTGAGGGCAGTAACTCTAAGAAGAACTAGTGTTTCTGAGCCCCATCAAAATTTCTAGATTGCTCTCCGTCAGTTAGATGCTTGATCAAGTGTGTAAGATGGCTCATTCACTGAGCAACTATGTATGTTAACTCAATTCTCTAGTAACAGTATTGATTGAAAGATCGTCTCAGTAGTTATTCTTCTTAAGAGCAATTCAAAGAGCAGAAACAGATATCCTTTTTAAATCTTAAATTTATAAATTGAGTGATTAAAGTAGTAATGCAATGTTACTTTAATATTACAGTTGAAAAAAATGCACAGAGGAGAACACGGCAATATGAAGACCAGTGTCATGGATGGAAACACCCAGCCTTTGTCAATTATAGGACATTTGAGAACATTATAAAAGAGCATATCGTAGAACTGGAGGAACCAGCCATTTTGATAATGAACAACGTGATCGGTACGTCTCTCAGGCCACATGAGGCTGTTGTGTGGGGGACACTGGTATGCTTATTTTTCCAGGATAAGCCAACATTCTCACTGATGGAGCAAGAGCTCTAGCCAGGATACTTCAGAGTGTGGAAGTGAATCTGCTTCTACCTGGGGTCTTGCTTCTTCTCTAGAGCCTCCAATCTCTACACATGGTCTCCAGCATTTGTTAATATTTTTCCCAGTGGCTGTTGGAAGGGAGTTAGAAGGTAACTGTGATAAATAACACAGTAAATAAACAGTATAGTAGAAGTACCTGGTGCCAGCCAAGTGGCCTGGTATTCCCAAGCCTGGGGAGTGACATTTGCAGACCTCAACTAGGAATCCAGATTTTCCAACTGTTTGCATAATGTTGTATGTATTATATAGTGGCTGCTGGGGGAAAGGGTCTAGAGTTCATCCAGTAAAAAGCACCCAAGGAAAAGGTATGTCATGATTCTGTCTCTTCTGTGTTTGCCTTAGAAGGCAGCTATGGTGTCTGTGCCAAACTCAGTGCTCTGTAATATATGTACTAGCCCCTGTTCCCAGCGAGGCCACTCAGGGGGCATTGTGGTTTGAGACTATCCAGACAGCAACAAAGAACCATGCAACTGCTTGCTCACTCTTATTCCCCTCCTTTTTGGGAGGGGGAGGATAAAATTCAGCAAAAAGGTCGACAATCAAGATTAAAGACAGGGAGGGCTTACGCATCATTTATGGTCACGGGCAAAACTAGAGTAGGTGTAGGAAGAAAACATCAATTTAATTTAGACAATAAAACCACCCCCTGTTTACCAATAAATTAGATCTGAGTAAGATAGTAAAAAACATAAATACAACCAGATCTTAAATGCACCTTCCCCGCAACCCTCCCTTCTTCCCAGCTACCTCCTCCCTCTGACAGCACAGAGGGGCAGGGATGTGGGAGCGCAGTCTGTCCATTACACAGTGTCCATGCCACTTCTTCCTCCCCAAGGAGAGGACTCCTCACAGTCTTCCCCTGCTTCAATGTGGTGTCCCTCTCATGGGAGACAGTCCTCTTCAAACTTCCCCAATGTGAGTCCTTCCCACATGGTCACAGTTCTTCCCAAACTGCTCCAGTGTGGGTCCCTCCCATGGGCAGCAGTCCTCCCAGCGACAGACTGCTCCAGCACTGGCTTCCCTTAGACTTCATGCATGGTCGTCTGCTCCAACCCGGGGTCTTCCGCATGATGCTGAAATCTGGGTCAGGGAACCCCCCAACAGCTTTCTTCTCTTAAATACATTGATGGCAGAGTTGCTGATTGGCCTGGCCTTGGCCAAAGGCAGGTCCAGCTTTTACCTGAGGCTGGCGGAGGCTCTGGAAGCTTCTCACAGGCACCATCCCAGTAGCTCCTCTGCTGCCAAAAAACCTCAACAGACACAAACCCCACACAGGGGGTGAGATGCATATATGCTTACATAGCCAAGTGATGGCACATCTGGTTGGACACAGCTGAAAGCACAGAAATTCCTTTATCGAAGGAATCTCAGTAATATTCAATCTCTTGGGTGTTGTTACAGGAAGTCTTTAATGGCTCACAGTCTCGGACCTAGAAATCTAAATTCCTACTTACTTGTATTGGTCATAAAGACAGAGAGCATCAATGCAGCTGCTCAGCTATTTCTGGATGAATACAGAAGATGGCTGGTTTTCCCAAGTCTTACGTTAACAATAGCTTAAAAACCTCACTTGCTTACATTACTCTATTTTTTCTTTTCTTCCATTAGGACTGATTGAAGAGAAATTTATAGAACTCGCTAAAAGGCATTTTGCCAATTTTGCCTCTCTGATCAGAGCTGCTAAGGTGAGACACTACTTATAACCTGAGATCAGAAAAGAGCAACACAGAATAGTGTTTGTAAATACAGCCATGTTTACAGTACCTATCCCGTTGCATTATCCTTATGCAAGTGTGGAATTTCTTGCAGGCCTCAGTTTCTATAAAATAAGGAAGAGCTTGAAAATGATAGCATGTTTACAATGGCACTAATCAAAGTGCATTTTGCCTTTCAGTGCAACTTTGATGAGATCTAAAACATACATTCCTCATTCACTCTTACCATATTGTTCATGCATGCAACACAATGCAAAGGAAACTTGATATGGCTGCCTTGAAGAGTTTATAGTTAATTTCTAACTGAAGTCCTGAAATTATTGGTAAGCGTATGGGCAGCCTCAGCATGCTAAACAGTGCTTTTCACCTTGCTGAAAGGCAAGCAGGGTGTTAGCCACTGCAGGAATCTCATCTTTGATAAAATAAAACAGCAGTAGACAAGCCAAAAATCATTTAGACTATGGGAGAGTTAGAAGATGGCTGTTCACAGTTTGCGTGTTTGCATGCATTGGAGCGGAGTTAAGTGATATGGATGTCATTGAAGGCCTTTTCTCAGAAAGAGCTTTGAGGAAGAGGTGAGAAGCAATGCTGGACAGCCAGGAAGCTGAGTCTATTCACAGGGTACTGCTTATAAAGGAAACTCCCAGGAAAAAGTGAACGAAATAGATGGTTTGTTATTTGACTTGCACAGCCAAACCCTGCTGAGCTCTCAAGCCAACCAGACTTCAGATGTGAACACAGTGAGAGGAGTGAAGAGAGAGAAGGTGCTGGTAGACACTGAAGATGAGAAAAAAGATGGGACACTTTCTTAGGGATGCTAGGAAAGCATTTTAATGGAATTTGAGGATGACTGATGCAACTTTACCCCCTTTCCAGGCTTTTAGGTGGAAGTATCAAGAAGGCCAGAAAGCATCTGATTACTGCAATAAAAGCACCAGACATGGAGGAGTTAGGCAGGGTTGGTTTGCTAATAGATAGGAGGCTTCAGGTTTTAAGAAGGGCAGGAGAGGCAACAGAGTTTGGATCAGTGCCTCCTCTCACTAGCTGTTGCAAGAGGGAGACACAAACAAAATGCATGCAAAACCTGAGGGCAAGCTGCAGGCTGAACTCATAGCTGGCCATTGCTACTTGTTCCCATCAACCTTGTGTTTTCCTTCAAGGTCCAAGGACCAGATTTTGAGTGATCCCACTCGTGTTTAAGGACTGGCCCCAACCACCGTGTTTTCCCTCTCTTTCACAGCAGAGGAATCAGAAGCATTACTCCATGTTCCTGAGAGCTGGTCTGGGATTAGACAGTGCTGCAGCAAGAACTATTGATCACTGTGTCCACCCCACCCTTCCCTGGGGTCACTGCTAAGCATTGCAAATGTCTGAGAACTTGTTCTTTTCTCTCCTAGACCAGAATTGAGGACATTAAACAGAAGCAAACAGCAGAGGCTGAAAGACAGATCCGGACCCAGTTTAAAATGGAGAGACTTGTATACTGCCAGGATGACCTTTACAGTAATGATTTAAAATCTCTTAAGGCAGAAAATACCATGAAAGTTGGCAATGAGAAGGAGTTGCAAGTTGGAGCGGCTTTGAATCAAGAGCCTACCATTGTCCAGGACATGGTTTTTTACACAAAGGTCTATTTTGATGTGAGTTTACAGACTATGATATAGAAGCTCTTCTGCACCTTGAAAAGTATAACATATACCCCTCCTCTAGATCTCGTTGTAGTCAGTATGAGTCTTCCATGAAATACTGTGCAGATGATAGGTATAAGTGTCTCATGCAGGTACAATGCACAGCTTTTGTATGGATTAATTGAAGCTTCTGACCAGTGATGAAAGTGCCAGGACAAAGCTGATCTGATGGGCTGTGTCAGCACAGTCACTGGGGAAAAGTAGTTGCATGCTGTAGGATATGGTGATTAAAAAAGCCTACAGGTTGTTAAAATAACAACTGGCTCCTAAACCACTTTTTATCTACCCTCCAGCCTGGCATGGCTCCCTGCTGCAGCTGCCCCTTGCTCAGGGAATATACCATTGGCAAGCGAGTCTTTCTTCTCACCCTCCTCTACCCCTTCATGGAGAAGGGGGTGACTCCCTGCTGCCTATGTAGCCCCGTGCCAGGGCAGTGCTCTCTTGCTGACTCTCCTCTGGGGGCAAGTGTCCAGAGGAGGAAAGGGCAGTCACTTCCCAGCATGGAGGAGAGGTTAGGATGGGGGAGAGCACTTCGTGCTGTAATTAGAAGTTACTGATACTCAGTGGACGGGAAGCCCCCCAGTCCAGCAAAAGTAGCAACAGTCCTAGGATTGCTTTCCCCACCACAAGCTCATCTCATGGTTTTCAAACAAAAGTAATTTCCACAAGTTCAGCAACAATTTGTACAGCACTTTGGCATTTAGCACAGCACCTGAGAGCTCAGGTCAGCCTCAAGCCCCTCTGTGTATTCCTGCAGCCAGCAGAAAGTGGTGTTGGTGGCATGTAGTCAGATCCTAAACTAATGTGGCAGGAGGAGCCATAATAAAATAAGTTAAAATGGATTCAGCTATCTGTAGAGATCAGAGCGCTTACACTGTGTTGCAGATAGCTCCATAGAAGCTAAATCTCTGAAGACAAATGGAGTCTTTTAACAAAGTATCATGTTAAAGAAAGACAGCAAAGAGAACACGGAGTATCAGGATTTGCTTTTGATCTTTGTTTCATAAAACTCCCTCAGAAAGCACCAAGTTCAATATTAATAATGCAGTAAGGTAGGCAGCAGCTTTCCTTGAATTTCAATAACAAGGCTTTGACAAATTCCCGCAATTAAATGTTCAGACTGCTCAGGCTAATGGAGAGAAAACCATTGGCTTTCAGAGAACAAGAGACAAAGGCAGCACTGCATAAGCTCTTCCTTCCTGCCTTGCTATACTCTCTGCTGTAACACAAATGCTGTAGATGCTGGTTATATACTTTTGTAAATGCCCCAACCATTTTCAGCGATTATAACTGCCAGGACATCATGTTTCCATGGGGCTTATGCAAGGCCAAACACACTTTGAATAAGAATGATAAATCTTCATGGCCTTTGAAAACAGCATGCATAAATGTGTCACCTGTGACAGGACAGTAAAGATTATGGGTACGGTCTGACTCTAGAACAACACCCATATTTAAATCACCTAGGTTCCCTAACGCCACAGTCTGTAGTGCTTAGAGAATATGTAGGCTCAGTAAGTGCTTTAGTTGACTCAGCCAAATTGCTTGCTATTGGCTAGATCTCTGCAAACCAGAAAGAAAAAGTAAACATCTAGTTTTAGGTATTTCTCAGCTTGAGCTGAGCTCCATTCTTGTAAATGAACAGTTTACAGCCACTGAGCTCCAGGGGTATCTAAAGACAGAAACAACTTAGACTTCTCTGGAAACAAGAGGCTTAAACCCTATAGGACCTACAAATCAAATATGCCTCTACCTGGTCATCTCGCTTGCCATGTTCAAGTCAGGTGTTACAAAAAGAAAGGAAGATGGCACCTCTCTCAATTTCAGCCAGTCACTCAGGTGCAGGTGCTTACCTGGCACCAGGAGGGCTGGAAGCAACTCCCAGCCTTGGAAAGGTTTGGAATTTCCCATCACCCAGCAGCATCAGCCAAGCCCTGCAGGTGTCTCTGGGAAAAGCTCTTCTAGGTCAATCTGTTTCAGTTTGCACCAATAACTAGACCAGACATTTTCTCAGGTTAAGTAGAAAATTATCTCACGGAGATATCAATACACATAATGTAGACACAGCCTAGTCTCACTACGGCTGAAGACATTTTCCCTTAAAGCTAAAGCTTACTCCAAAGCTGCCTTACACTAAAAAAAACAACCAGGTCAGAAAAACCATCTAAATACAGGAATTCACCACCTTTGGGGGAAAAAAAAAAAAATCCGTACCATAGTGGATTGGTAATGTTCAGAAAAGACAGGTTTGATGCCAGAAATTGTTCACAGGTACTGTTCATCAGGTATGCCCTTGTGTGACTCTTACCAATGACAGTTGGCAGAGCTAAGCTGGGAACAACCTGCCTTGGATTTAGTTTGCTGAGGAAAAAAAAAAAAGCAACAGCTGACATTTCCTTAATTTCTAGATCTTTAGGCACGAAAGAGATTAACAGCAAACATTTTTTAGTTTTTAGGAGCACTGACTTCTTGAGCAGGAACTCAATTCAATTTTAAAACATGCTGTCACTTCTTACCAGATTACCTACAGCCCCTTCCTTTTTTAGTTCTTTTGGTGAAACTAGCCTTGTACTTTTTTTTCCTCATTCTCTTGCAGGGAGCAACTAAACGCCTCTCCAGTCAGATACCTCTGATTATCCTGTCTTTTGCCCTTCATGATTTTGGGGATAAATTACAGACCACAATGCTACATCTTTTGGAAGAATTTAAGGCAAGCCAGGACTCGGAGAACAAGACTCTGAACTCTGTGGGAAGATTCGAGTTACGTGGTCTCCTTCAGAAGGGCAGAGAAGCAGATGAACATAGGAACTGCCTTGGTGAACAAGTTAATCGTTTCACCAAAGCCTGCCAGTGCCTGAGAGCCTTTAACTCACTGTAGCTTTCTCAATTTTTCAGAATTATTGTTCTACTCTTGTTTTCTATTGAATAAGTTTGTAAAGTCCCCTGAAAAAGTAATATCAACACAGACTTTTAACACTCATGTCACTCATTGGAGGGGTTGTGATTAAGTAAATGTTATCCCATTTCTTTATGAACTCTGTACAATCATTGAAATAATTATTAAAAAGCTAGAGCTCCGAGCTGTGTTTCGATGTGGGGGTTTTTTTGTTTGCTTTTGTTTAATGAGGATGAGGGCTTTCACCTGTATAACTCACAAACTGTATAAATCGAATTATCTAACTTTCCTAAATGAAATTTACTGCACAACTCTAGTGATCCCCTACTTCCCTTTGTGGGTTTGCCTCTCTGTGGTGGTTGCCTGCCCTACCATTGCCTGAAAAATAAGTGGCAACACCTTCCAGAGTCAAGTCCCAGCCCAGAGGTAGAGGGTGCACAGGGTAGGCGTGAAACAGTTCCAGCCTAGAGGGAAAAGAAAGTTAACGTCATCTGATCAGAACATCCACAGGATGGCTCCATTTCTCTTTTTTCAGTTCTGTAATCTGTAGAAAAAGGCTAAGAGACTCTTTCTTTTGGATACCTGGAGCTTTGCCTGAAATTTTGGGACTGATGGGCAATTCAGTAGGTGGCAGGACTTGAATATCCAGAAGGGATTAAACCACCTGGGGTTGTTAAAAATTAGAAGGGTGTCTCAGCATGTGACTTGTTTCACATCTCCTTCCCCTGCTCAAGGGGAAGGAAATCAGTTGAAAGTGTGTTTGTACCCATGTATCACACAGTAATTTTCAAGATGCTTACAAAAGAGGCCTTCTCTCAAGGCTAGAAATGACACTATGTGTTTAACCCTCCGAGATGAAACTGCAGCAGACGGCTGACTCCTGTGGCACGTCCTTCACCCCATTACAGCATACTGCTTTCTTAACCCCATTTGTAACTACAGCCAGTTTTGCACATTTCAGTATACTGTTTTGTAATACCGAATTGCAGTGCTACATGTTGGAAGCCATTAGAAAGCCTGATATAATAACAATTTATTGAATTTCTATTTTGGAAGTACTTGAAACTCATTGGCTACTTCATGGTATTTCCCGAGGCACACTTTATGCTCATGTGTCGTTGAAAACACCCTGTCTCACAACTAGAGAGGAGAGGCAGGTACACATTACTTCAGGCAGCTTGAGATGTAATAACAAAATAGGGTGTGACTCCCTCAACCCACTGCCTTTAGGCTAAACTTCCTTATTTAATTCAATTTCACAAGTCAGATTAATTTCAGACCCAGCCACTAAAGACATGCAACATTCCTGGACCTCCAGCTCTGTCTCCCCGGGTTTGTTCAAGGACCTAAAATTTTGCAATTAAACAATCCCCTGGATCATACTCTTGTGTTGTTTTTCTTTTGTTTTGTGTTTTGGGGGATTTTTTTTTTTTAATCAGATTTTCAAAACACTTCAGATATTGAATCCAGCAACAGATTCCAGTGAAATCAAAGCACACAGATATAAACCACTACTAAGGAAAACTATTTGTAACAAAAAAAAAAAGAAATCTTTATTTGGTGCAGTGTTTACATGCAAGATTGCATTTCAGTACCAAAACAGAGAAAACAAGAGTAAGTAAAGTCATTTCATCCAAAAGATTCATCATTCTTAACAAAAGTGACTTGGTATGGCTTTTTGATCCTCTGTACTATGCTTATAAATTAATTTGAAAATCCTACTTGAGGTGGCACTCGGATATTAATCACAGTTTGCTAAACACATACATGAAGGTACATAAAAAGGAGAGCTCTAAGGAATTAAAAGCCAAATTTAACAACTGAGGTAGTTCATCTGGTCACGCAGATTTGTGTTTCCTTGTGTAAAACATCCAGCCTCTGTGTGCATGTCTGCAATCAGAGGTCTATGGTTTGCAACACGGCCTTACTGAAAAGACATTGCCCTTTGCCTTTCACAGCAGGGAGAGTTCAAGAGTCAATCCCGATGACGTGCACAGCCAGGGACCTCGTCATCAGGACACTGAAGTCAGCTCTTCCTCCTACAGCTCTGGAACATCCCCTCTCCGCAGCCGACGTCGAGTGATGGCAAATCTCACCCTTTTTGGGTTCAGAGCAGCTTAAAGGCAGAACAGCACTTTGAATTACTGAGACAGTCAGACTGGTCTCAGGTCGAACAATCTGACTTGGATGACTGCTGTGCTGAGATCCTGAGGATTTTTAACTACCTGAATATACAGTATTTTTTTGCTGTGCCTCAACTGTAGTGCATGAAAACTTGCCTTCATATATACCAAAAAATATTCATTTCTTTTTTAAATTGCCAACCAGCAGCTCAGAGATTCAAAGTTCACATTACTTAACATTTAATTTAAAACATTACTAACCAAACTGTCTCAGCATCCTGCTACAAAAATCTTTAAATTAGTTTGTGATTAAAATTGCCATTATAAGCCTATGTCTGATTATCAAGTGAAATTTACTCAACTAAAGAGAGGCATTTCAGCAAGCAGTTGACAGAAAGACACGAGAAGAAAGGTGCTCATTGTGATAATCCTTCACTGATTAAAATCAGTCACTGTAGCCAGCACAGAATCAAATCTGCAATCCTTCATGTTTTTTTAAAAAAGAAAATTCGAAGAGAAAAAAAAAAAATCATTTGCAAAGTGAATAAATATTCCAGGCACTCATGGCTTCATTTATTCTTATTCTCAGAAATATCGATCGGTAAGAAGGACAGCATTTTCATCTGTTTGCCTGTTTTAAAAAAAAAAAAAAAAACAAAACACAAGGGTTCAAGTTCTGCTGGCAGACTATCTTACCAATTACTTGGACGCTTCTCAGCAAAATAATTTAATTAGCAGGAAAGGAAAAATTCATTTATTTTTACAAATACAATAAAGTTTCAGAAGTTGAGACATTTTAAATTATTAAAAGCACCCAAATAGTTTACCTGCATATTTTTATAAATCCAATCTGCAAACACAGTCATATTCCCATACACTCCAGGTCTGTTAGGACTAGCACAACCAGTTCCCCAGCTGGTATCTCCAACCAGCCACCACACCGAGTTTTTGTTAGTTACTAGCGGACCTCCGCTGTCACCCTGTACAGAAGAAAAGCATGTTATTAGTGACCTGGCCACCAGGAAAGAAAAGACATAATTCATTTCACTTCTGGAATACAGGTTAAGTTTTCAAAAAAGCTAACCACCATTTTAAGATAGTCACTGAAACAAAATGCAATGGCAATTATGATGTTAAATGATAACTGTTTGCAATAAGGACGAAAATTGTGTGCCTGAAGCACTAAATGAGACAGGCCTTATTGACTTTCTAGTTCACAGGCATAATGCTAGGGTATCGCGGTGATTATGAAGAGCATTCACTCATCCTTAAGTACCAAATAACAAAACATCCTTGAAGCATTAGAAAGGACTGCCTCACCTTCTTTGGGTATTTAGCGAGAACTGCACTGGCAGCCACTCAGAAGATGAAACAAAAGCTCTCCATTTAGAAGGGGTGAACCACAAAAGGAATTAGAAGCCTAACCAAATTCTTATTTATTTATTTATTTGTAATGGGATCTGTCTGAAATTAACAGATTACTAAAAAAGCCTTCTACTAAGACCACAAAAATAATCAGATCATTATTACCTGACAGGAATCAATTCCTCCTGATAGATATCCAGCACAGATCATTGTAGGCAAAATCATGCCATTATAGATAAAGATAGAATTACACCTCGAACGTTCTATTAAGGGCACCATAACATAATTCAAGTTATTTGATGTTTTACCTGAAATTGAAACGTGCACAAAAACACATGTACAGAGACAAAATTAGAACAAGCATCACACTATGGTACTATTACAAATCCCAGCAGCTAGCACTATTCAAGATGAAGTAAGCTTACTAGAAATATCAGGATGGACACTTAAGATGTATGGTCCATCACACAGAGCCAACTGTGACATTAAAACTCCCTTCTGAGAGGCTGGTGAGTTTCCCTGCTTTGCTGCCAATGTACTGTACAGGCCAGAGAACATGGCACCCACCTGCTTATTCCAGGCCCAAATCATCTGTATTATCTACAGGACTACTGAAAGCACATGAAGCCAGTTGGCAAGAGTCGAAGAGGATCTTGCCACAGTTTCATGGTCCAGCAAAAGGTGCCAGCCATTCCCACATTCAGGGCCCACCTTCCCCAAGACCACCCTCCTCTTCTTTCTACTCAACGAAACCTTTCCTCCTTTCCTTTTCATTTCTTACAAATTTATTTGCATCATGCTATTTTAGCTTGAGGTGGTGGAAAGGCCAGGTTCCTGCATTTTCCCATGTCCAGAGAAGGCTGGCTTGGCATACAGGTACCCTTGTTACAGAAGAGATGGCCCTGCTTGCAGCAGGGGCACAGAACTGTCTCCTGTGTGACTGTATCTGGCCCCTGGTACTGATTTGAGGCTCCTTTGCAGTCGGCTGAATGCAAGACATCACAACTTGCTTTGAAAACACTCTGTGTAAATACTAAGTGCTGTAAAATGAGTGAATATATAGCATATCAACAGATCTAGCTCAAACTGTCAAATCAGCCCATGCAACAGTTATACATAGACTGAAGAGGATGAAGTTATGTAGAAGACTAAAATATTTCAAAACCACTCTTTACCTCCTTGGGACTCTGCTCCCCACCCAGATATCCAGCACTGCTGATTAGGCTCGAACATCATTCCTGGATTAGGCAAACAAACTGGCCGTATGGTATCTACAAAACAAACAAAGTGACATCTGTAATCCCGTATGTCCAGACATAATTCAGAATAAATGCATACTAAATACATCAGCATGACCATCACTTAAATACATGTTCACCATCCATGTTCTCTGTACTTTACCTTCCTTGCAGATAAGCAATACCACGCGATGCAGGCAGCAGCAGAAAGCCCAACAGCTGCCCTTTCCCAGATGGCTACCTGATTGTCACCTCAAAGTGAGCAACAAGCACAGTCCATGGTTCTAACTCAAGGCCAGCTAGAACCATTAACACCAGCTCTTCTAATCAGCAGAGGACAAGGAAGAAAAAACTTCTCACAACTACCTTTCTGTATTCCCTTTGCAAAACCCTGCTGACAATAACCACAATGTAAGCAGGATTCCATGCCTAATATGTAAGTGTGGAACACAGAAATCCGGTAACAGACAACATCCCTGCTCTCAGCAGGTCATTTTTAGTAGCTTTAAATTGATGCACTGAAATATAAACGTCCTGTGCACAAAAAGTCCTTCAAGTTTAAATAATAGTTTGTCCTCTGTTTTTTTCCACTGATTGCTCACAAATAACCTAAATCTACTTTTAAGAAAGGAACTTCTTCTAACATTTGGTTTGGGGGTTAGGTTGTTTTTTACCCAATTATTATTTGACATAGTTTGATTTAGGGTTTAGTCAGCTGCTCCACCACTACATCCTGAGTCTGCACATCCAGGAGTGGCAATACTTAAGCATTGTACAGCACTCTGGGGGAAAAATGCACTGCTGAGATGGACCTAAACTTCTTTTCCACATACTAGATTTAAATAAATCTTACTTAGAAAATCAGAAAGTGTGTTCCCTGTCTTTAAGAAATCTCCACTCACATTTTGTGTTCTTCTAAGTATCTACAAGGATTTCTTGATGCATTTCAGAAGTTTAAACAGATGTGCTTGCTGCCATTGGATTTTTGCCTTAACAGCAGAGTACATACCAGTAAAACTCAGCGGTGTCTCTAACTTCATAAGGGCAACATCATTGTCTTTAGAATCTGCATCATAATCAGGATGCGAAATTATCTGTTGCACTTTGTATCCATTTCTGAAGAGCATCTGATCCTGATACAGAATCCCAGCATAAGCCCTCCAGCTGTATGGGTCAGAATATCGTCTAGAGAGAAAAAAGGAAAAAAAAAAAAAAAAGGGTTAGAACTTTTTCTTCTTTGATAATGAGTCACAGATTATGACCTCCAAAAAACTGTCTTCAGAAATTATAGTCAAATGCACGTGCAATCAAGAATACACATGCATTTAACTACCATTTCTGAAGCACAAGGTAAAAAAAATGCAAGATATCTAAATTTGAGAAAGCTTGATTCTAATTTTATAAACATGTTTTTTTAAAAAATCTTTTAAATGGGTTAAGTATGACTATCTATCCCCTTAGCTACTCAGCACAGCAAATTATAGTCTGAGACTGCAACACTGAAGTCTATTGATTTCCATAGCTGAGAGATCAAGCAGCTCTTTCTGAGGTCTCACATGTCAGCAATATCACTCACAGGTACTATCCAAAGCATGCAAGGGCATCAGAAGCCAACATTAGTAAAAAACATGATCTGTTGAAGGAATTTCACTATCTTGAAATTCTTAGGGGGTTTTTTGTCTGGTTTTGATTTTTTTTTTAAATGTTAAACATGCTTACTAGATGTCATTCAACTAGTCTCTTGTGCTCCACTACAGCTTACAAATCCTTAATAGAAAAACTTCCCACAAGTGTTAAAACTCACTTCATGAGAACTGCCAAGGCAGTACTGCTTGCAAGTCATCCTCCTCAAAAAAAAAAAAATTAAAATTGGAAATCAGCTTTGTGACACCTACAGCTTGGTTACTATTTCTAGAACTTTGCACACTACAGAGCTCAAATCAGAAAAAAGAGGAGGAATAAGTTTGTTCAAGTAAAAATAAAAATTTGCATTTCTTTCTCAAGGTTAAATACAAAGACATTTTCCCTTGGCTTAGCCTCAAACTGTGATCCAGTCAACAATCATTAAAATGCTTTTCCTTAGCGGTTTTTCCTTCCAACAGAAGCAGATGCCTTTTAAGCATATTCTGCCACTGTACACAAGGTACCACAACACCCTTAACTCTCCTTTAAAGATTAAAAAGGTAAAAAGCATCAGCTGTTTTTTCTTGTTGATGTCTCTGTAAAGTGCTCCTTGGATAGATATAAACCTTCATTTAATTCTGACTTGGGCTTTACTACCCTGTGTCATGAAGATACAGGGAAATAAACGGTACAGGAATTTTTAAAGTTACCATATCTACATCTGTGCAATATTTGAGGATTTGTTTTGTTTTGTTTTTGTTTTTACTTTTTTTCCTTTTCTTTGTGTTTCCTCATGATCTAATTCAACATCACAGAGACATTGTACTGTCTGGCATTAAGTTTGGTGCCCTGAGTTTACTACTTAAGTTAGGTGCGTGTCTGTGCCCAGCATCACCACCTAATTTCATTTCCACCTTTAACAAGTAATAGAAGATCTTCTCCCTGTAGAAAGCAGACAGATGATCTGCAGCCAGCCTCCTCCAGAACAAATTTACTCTTAATACTTGAAAACCATGTTGCCACACAGACAAAATACTGTGCCTAGCACCTACATTCAAGGCAGTGGGGAGGGGAGGAATGGTATTTAATTCAGTTTTAAAGCAGAAGGTAAGGAGACATAAGTAGTTTTGTGCGTTTCAGCCTGAAGCAGGAAAAAATACCATTCAAGAGGCAAGATGAGCAAGCTGGGGACTCACCCTTCCACGCAGTGTGCCGCCGTCACTATCCACTGGCGAGTGATGATGGACCCCCCACAGAGGTGGGTGTCCTCCACGTGGAGGCTGACCTGCCACGGCCACTGCCCCAGCACCGCTCCGCTGCCACCCACGATTCTGTTCATAATGTTCACGTTTTTCGTGGTCAGGCCACACTCTAAGGAGTCAGTTACACACACAGAGGTGTTAGTTAAAGAGCAAGATGGTCTGGAAAATTACTTCTGCAGCTCAGGCTTTGCTAGCAGAAGAGAGTGTATGTAGACCACGTCTGACCTCTGCACTGTGGGCATTCAATACACTGCAGGTCTAGTCCCTGCCCTGAACACGAAGACCTCAAGTCTCCAATAGCCTAAATCCCCTTGGCATTGCAAAGGTCAAGATGAATATGTGGGAGTTGATGCCTTGAGTTCACCACAAACCATAAACCAGTGATTCGTCACACCTTTGAGGGCGGCATTCAAGCATCTCTGGCAAGCCATGCAGTCACACGCTTTGCGGTGTGTAACAAAACAGACAACAGCCAGGAGTCACCTCAGGACAGCCTTTAGGCTCAGGAACACACTGCCCACCCACTGAACATGTGTTGTCCCAACTGCTGGGCAAGGGCTGCAGACCTTCACCACATGGCAGATATTTAAGGAACCGGTGTCAGCAAAGACAAAAGCAACTGGTTACTCAGCATTCTCCCTATCTCTTCTCCCATCTCTCTCCTTAAACTGCATCATTTGGAACTTGGGAATCAAAGTTAAATCATCTGCCCATTGAAAGACAGCAATTACATACACAGTTTCAGAAGTATTTCTGAGCCATAACATTTCAAAGTACGAACAAGCAGAAGTTGGAGAAACACAGTCACTTACCTATGCAGCGCAGAGAAACCACATTTCCTGATGTACAGGTATCACTGCAATACAATTAAAAAACAAAGAGGATCTTAGTGAGGCAAATAATGGGCAAAGTTCACCCTCCAGCTCCTTCCTACCCTTTCCAGCTATGCGCCCTGCCTTCACTCTCATCTTCCCACTGAGGATTCCCTCCTTTCTTCACTCTCTCCAGCTACCCTACCAGCAACCATCTGGCCTCCACTACGTCTTGCATACACTAAAACTGTCATGTGGAAGATTGCAGTCACTAGTACAAAAGGTTTATAAGCCTGTTGAGGAGCAAGATGAAGAACAGCATGAGAAAAAGTTGAGCTGATTCATGAACTAGTTGTAGAGGAACCTAAACAAGGGAGACATAGGAACTTTGCAGACACAGCGGTCTACAGGTTTAGAAACTAGACACTTCAGTGTTGTTTAATGAGAATTAAAAAGATACTTTCCACGGAGAAAGACCCATTTTGCATACTGTGTGTTCATGTGACTAAAAAAAAACCCCAAAAACAGTTGTACCAGGTGCTGTGAATGTGTTACAGCTGGTGGCTATTGTAGCCCCACAGAAACTCCTGTTGATGTTCAAAGAGCCTTACGAAAGTATCTTTGACATGGCAACATTCTAGACAGCATGGAGGGAAGAGGGTCGGACATCATCTCTTTTGAAAGAGGAAAGAAAGGATGAAAAAGTGACAGCTGTGTTTTAAATAGAAGGGAGAGCAGCTGCTGCAATCAGATTAAAAACAAAGTCTCTTTCCCTCTAACAATCTCCACTGAAAGAAGTGCTTTCATTATGCTGCAGGCAGAAGCTACAACGCTTACAACAGCTAAAAAGACTCCTGATAAAAGAAGTTTGTATTAAATGAAGATACCTGCTATACAGCTTTTTGTACAAGTCTATATTTCCAGCACTTGTGTTCAGCTTCATGTAGCTTTTAAAGCTGACTTCAGGTGCTACTCCTCGACTATAGAAATACGTATCTCTGCAAAACAAGAAAGTCCATTATGAAACCAGGTAGTTTCAGTTTTCAAACAAGAAATAATAAACTGTTTCAAGCTAGAGCTTCTGACATAAAAAAGCCTAAAAATATGATTCTTAATTTATTTATTTTTTAATTAAACACAGAACTTCAGTGGTGTAGTACAGCGCCAGAGACTTGGATTCTTTAAATATTTGATAATTTCAGTTTCCCATGAATCAGTTACTAGACTAAAATACTGTTTTTATCTAATACGCATGCATGATAGGAATCTTGAGGCTTATGAAACAGGGCAAGATGAAGAGATGCCTTTGCCAGTACATTTACACAGCATAGCAAAGTTCAGGTCCGACAAGCTGTGACAGCCATGTTTCTGTGAGGCAACAAGAGGGGCAGCAAGTGCTGCTGTTCTGCCAGCTTTCTAGCCAAGGACCAGCTCTGTGTGGTTGCTGCTGAGCTGTCTTATTGGGGTTGGAACTGCTGGGGTCACTGATGGTTCAGAGACACAAATTCAGAGCATCATGACACAGCATGGACACACACAAGTTCTGTCTGCCTGGGGAAGAAATTTGCTCTATTACTTTATGCATGACAAAAGACACTATTTGCCAACCGTATCAAAAAGAGGCAATGTTAAGTGGTTCAACCACAGGAGAATTTAGGCTTTGGCATTACACGGGGAGAACATGGCAGAACTAAGGACCATGAATGTTTATGGTGAGCTTCCATATGAGCTGGTTTTACTTGTGTCCTCAGAAGACCAAGGCTTTCTGTGTAGTACTAGTGATCATAGGTGAAGTCAGACTGGATGTTATTGAGCAGTTACAATGATCTGAAGTGAGCTCTGGAAGATGACTGTAAGTGAACGTTCTAGATACAAGTGACCCCACTGAGTAACTACTGCCTAAGTGCCAGACCCTCGTTACATGTTGAAGCAATGTTTAACTTTGATTCTGTAACAGCTACCATTGTTAGCATCAAAACCAGGTAGGTTCACAAGAACTAGACTGCCAACTGCTTTTTGTTTCAGATACATACTCTTAAAAACAGCAGGAGGGAAATGTTAACCTTTCTGTGTATATGCAAAGGCTGACGAAGGTTAGACTTACACACTGTAGCCCATGTCTTCACATGCAGTCCTCCCATAATCGTCATTCCAGTCATCTTGACAAACAGGATACCAGGATTTGCTGACAGGTGAATAAACTTCCAGGATAAAGTCTGGTCCAAAAAGCCTAACTGCCAGAAAAGGAAGAAGTAAAAAAAAAAAAAAAAAAGAAATCAATAACATCACACATTACTGCTCCTTCTCTACTTAAAAATATTGTTACCCATAGTATCTGCTTGTATGTATGAACTGGTTTTAAGTTAATGCTGCCTTCTACTCAAATTACGAGTAAATATCAAGTAGACAGAAATAACACAATGACATAATTCTTTCATGTAAGGCAATTAAAATGAACTGCCAGTTTAAAAATGCAAGTGTACAAGATAGTGTTCATATTTTCATTTCAACTTTTATGCTCAAAATTCTCTTTTGCATTCTACCACTGAGAAAAACTGCAGTAGTCATTCGTATCTTTTATCTACAGAACCATATTTCTTAATACATCATATATTGTCTATAAATAAAATATAATCTATTGTAGTATCTTTTATGTTATGTCTTAATACACTAAGAAGCACTTGTAGAGCAAGAGTGTAACAAGGAGCAATTAGCTTTGACATTCCATGTTCCATTATGTATTTATTTCCACAAGAATTTAATACAAAACAATTCAAGCAAAAGAGCAGATTGAATAAGCTTCTCTAAAAAAACATTATTCAACCAAAGTGAGAAGAATAGCTTTAGAGCATGTGCCAGTAACTGCTAACCCTGCATGACACATGTACAGAATAAAAGTTCCCAGAGAGAGAATAGGAGCACAGTTTTCCAGTGAGGCACTGGCACAACACAGGTGTTAGAAACAAGATGCCACCCCTCTGGAGAAATAAATGATGTTTCCACCTTCAGCTCCACACTAAAGCTTCCCTTGGCATCTTCTCAGTTGGAAACACTGATTAGACAAGGCTTTCTTACACAAGGGAGTTATGTAGTTAAATCATTATTGGGAGAACAACAAATCCAAAATTATGTTACCATCTTAAGTTCTACTGTGAAGACAAGGATGACTGTTTGTGCCAGAGACAGTGTTATGCTCAATGTTATTTTTACAAAACATAAAAATCTCATTCAGATTAAAAGGTAGTATTTTTAAAGCTGATTCAAAATTAAGACAGCTCAAACCCAAGTCAGTCATTGTGTTTCAGCTTTTCATTTGGACTGGAAACAAACTGAGTATCTAGATATATCCTTCAAAGTGCTTAAACATCCTAAACTACTCTATATAATCATAGAAACATCAAGGCTGGAAAGGACCTTAAGATCATCAAGTCCAACCTACAGCCCTACACCACCCTAACACTAAACCATCTCCTGAAGTGCCACATCCAGCCGTTTTTTAAACACATCCAGGATGGCGACTCCACCACTTCCTTGGTAACCCATTCCAATGCTTCACCACTCTTTCACTGAACAAGTTTTTCCTAATATCCAAGATAAGACTTAGGCTAAAATAGACCTATTGCAACTTAGGCAAGACTTGGACAAGGCTCAAAAACTCCTGCAGTTAGCTGAAGTTCTCCCCTCCCTGGACTGTTGGCACTCACCACATCGGGCTTCATCCTCCCCATTGGGGCACTGGCTCACTCCATCACACCACATCGAGGGCGGCATGCACACTCCTGAAGATCCACACTCCATTAAGGAGCCAAGACAACGAGTCTCTACTGCAGAGAGAAACACAGCTGTTAGGCTAAACATCAGCTTCAACTCAGGCAACTACTGCCAACTCTCTGTCTAAAGGAGTATTCCACTTTGATGGAGCAAAACATCAGAAGGAGCTCTTAAACTCAGAGAGGGGAGGAGACCTAGCCTGACATCACAGAAGATGTATTGCTCTGGCCTTTATACTGCTTGCCAGATTAAGCCACTGATGCAGCAGATTGGATTTTATCCACTGCCTACTGTGAATAAGCAAGCACCATTAATTTGTCTAAAAGGAGACAGCTTTACAGTGACAAAGCATAACATTTATAAACAGAAAAGGAGGAAAGTGATTACTCCAATTACATCTTTTTGCTTTTTCTGCTATTTAAAACAAGATTATATTTACCCTATATAAATGAGTGAGGAAAGAGAGGAAGGAAAAAAAAATAGCCCTAAAACCACAAAGTGCCATCCTAATAGTTTTAAATGAACTTCCTTGTCTCTTCCTTTCTTTTCCTGCACAGAACAGAAAGGAGAGGCTCCTAAAAACACAGAAAATTGATTTTTAGTTTCCATTGAAAAGTGGCTTTCATTGAAAGGGAAATCAGGACAGCACAAGGAAAAAATTCACCCGAGCCAAAAAGAATTCTATTATCTCAGCTTCAGACCCCAGTTACCCCAGCTGGGGATGATTTCCAAAGTGAACGTATCTTGTATGATGCAGCTTACAGCAGTGAGACAGGCTGGGCTCACACAGTGGTAGCACACTTTCAAAGCAAAAGCCTCACAGGAACAAATAAATGGACAAAAATCGCTTCTGCTTCAAGAGAGACGTCATTTTACCGAACTAAGACATACCTCGAGTGCTTACACTCCTGCAATTAAGGTATGAAAATTTACCTCAGTCTCTTTACTTGAAACTAAGTGAAGTTCAAATCTGGAAAAAAGTTGCATTTCAGAGAGGATGCACAGCAGCAACTTCCCTAATGAAATGCACCATGGAACGTGTTGCACGCACAGTCACGTGCCAACTATCCCCCAGCACAAAAACCCTTGCAAGAGGTCAAATTACTCTTTACTAACAGCTACAGTGCTGTACAGTTGTACTGCACTAGTTTTTGTCAGACAGCTTTCCAGAGAAGCCACCTGAATAATCCACTCCAGAAAAGTCAGAAAGAGGACACCACCTAACACCAAAAACGTATTTACTTGATGAAAAGAGAGAGAAGAAAGTGAGAGCAGCACTGTTCATTAAAAAGAAAAAAAAAAAAACCAAAACACCTCACAACACAAACAAAACTGAGCCATTAGGAAGCGATATTAGTTCATCTATCAGGAGATAAGTAATGAAGACTTTCCCTTCCTCAATTCAGCATAAAATGGAAGAATGTGTATTTCTAACTTTAGAAGTTTATCTTTTCTTTCAGAACAACAACAACAAAAATTCTTACCAAAATACCATATGAAGAAAGCAGCAATTGCACAACAAATGACGAGTAAGATAGACAATATAATAATTATTATTTTCTTTACACCTGAAATGAAAGCAAGAAGAAAAAGAGAAATTAGGTTCACAGATAAACGTAATCTCCAGCCACCAACACTATCTGCTTCCTTGACATTAAAATCAGACATTTTTCGACAGAGATATTTTTCTCCACTTCACCACCCCTCCTCCACAGCACCCAGGTTCCTGTCCAGTTACGCCAACATCCCAGACAACTATTAGTTTTTCATCTGCAGGGAGGTGACTCCTTCAGTACAGGAGTTGGAAAATCCCTTTTATTTGCTATCTGGTTTTGAAAGTCCTTGAGTCTAATTCCTGACAAAACTTACTTGATCCACAGGTTCTCTCGGATGGAAGGGCTACTGGCCTACTTGACTGGTGGGTAGAAACTCTTGGGACGTAGCTTGGCACTGACGGAGCATTTGTCGAGAAGTACTGTGGATATGGGTTAGCACCTACTGGCTGCCTGGCAGAATAGACGTTTTCTGGCTGAAAGCCATGATTTTCATAGTATGGCGGTGCACTCTAAATTATAATGTTGAGGGGAAGGAAACAGAAGAAAATTGAAAAGAAAAAGGTAAGACTGCAATTGGGGCAAACCACGTTTCAGATGTTATTTACATTCAAAACCCTCCTAAGTAATTCTGCCAATGCAGAAACACACCGTGCATGCATACACATACTAGTGCCTCCAGTTTACACCGAGAAAGAGATTTAGAGTACCAATCTAATATCTTGCGCTTTGAATAATAAAAAATAACAGAGATTGAGGTTGGAAGGTGTACGAAGAGATCAGTTTCCCAATTCAAATCAACCCAACCTAAGAAGGATTATTGAGCCCAGCCCTACAGATGGCTGCACAAATAATTGCACTGAAACATCTGACAGGGTAAAAATAATCAGCAAGGACAGTTTTAGGCAGCACTGTCATTGAAAGAAATGCTGGAAAGAAACAGCTTTTGTGCATGCAGTTGTCCAAGTCCAGGATAAATGCTCACAGCCTCATTTTATCCGATGACCACATCAGGTATACCTAAGCTACTACTGAAACACACTGGCCTACAACAGGTAGTGGAATATTTATTCTGAAAGAGCTTTAAAAACTAGTTAGAAGTCATTCCAACCTATCCCTCCAAAATAAGCTTTAAAATCATTAATCTCTTCCAGGAGTATCTGAGCATTTGAAATACTACTTAAAATTCAAGCCTTTTACACCTGCCTCATAGTACATCTTTCCCTTTTTGCATAAAAGAAAACACAACAAAACAGTCCATATTTTAGAAAACTTGTTAACCAGGATATCACTCAATAAATCATTACTTGTAAAGAGATAAAACCTCAAAAAAAACCAAAACAAAACAAAAAACCAGGGACTAATATTCTGAATATTTTGTTACTTACTGCAGTAGTGGTCATCTTTCCTTTGTCAGCAGTACTGAAATAATTCAAGTGTTTGGAAGTAAACCATGAACCTATTTTAAAACAAACTAAAAAAATATAAAATAGAGCAATCACAGCCAGAACCTTTGTCTACCTTTCTTGTTGCTTTTTTCTTTGGAAAAATGCCAAATCTGGGGGAAAAGAAAATACGGAAATATTTCAAGAGAAGATACAAATTAAGGTGCAGCATGAAATTGGATCTCAATAGCCTCTCAATACAACCTTGAGGATTATACAGTGGCAACTATTCATTAACACGAGCGCCACACAAAACGAGAAGATTAAGTTAGTGCTCACTCTCACTGACAGAATGAGAGTTAAAGAATATCCTGGCAACAACCCACATGGTGTCAATACCAAGTTCAGGTCCTCCCGCCTCTCTCAACACTTACTCATGTATCACTCTGAGGTTTACGACACAGAAACAAGAACATGAACAAAGAATCAGGAAATACATATTCAACTAACTTATTTGCTAATACTGTGGGTAGCAGCCCCACAAGCCACAACTTTTTCACTGTTCTGTGTTGCAAACAGTTGTTTCTTTGGTTGTGCGTTGTAGCCACCACACCAAAACCAAGGAGAGAAGCATGTCAGGGAAACAGTATGGCACACCAATACAGAAGTTTTTCAAACAGAGTAAAAGAGAGGAGGGACATCTGATGTTCTGATCATATAGCAGTTTATTTTAAAGTTAAACATTAACGTTAAGTAAAACCACAGATTAGCAAAGACGCAAGAAACACAAAACATTTGCTGCCACAGTTCTAAAACAGGCAGTTACACACCTCCACAATTGCTGTAATAAATAATTTGATCTGTTAAGTCCTCTCACAATGTTACTCTACATCAAAAAAAAAAGCCTAGTAAATGCCTCATTCAGGCACTCAGAAATACCTTTCTCCAGCTTGCAGAGCAGTACCCTGCGCATAGGCATGCCGCCATGACCCCTGCTGAAAGCCACGACTATAAAGAACAGTCGCATTAAGACACAGCATAATTCAGCCTGAAGTATAAGGTTATATTTTAGAACCTGTACTAAGGCGTCATCTCTCCCAAAGCTGAACTGTGAGCATCTTTGAAGCAGATTTCAACAGCAGCTCAGCAACTCGAGTGTGCCAATACTTTGTGACAGTTTAGGAAGGTTGATTCTGCTATTTGCTTGTTAGTGCTAGCAAAAAAGTAGATAATAATGCACTGTTGAACTCTTCTTTGCATGGCAGACAGGTGAAAAACAAGTTTTGACTCCTACTTACAGTAAGTCCATTGGATTGGTGACTAAGGCTTCAGGATTTCTACTTTATGTCGCATCCATTCTTACCCAGCTCTTCACAGCAGTCCAGAAATGTAGCTCTGCCCAGACTTAAAGGACAAGTAACAGGTTGCAGGAAGATGTTTTTGTTCCTTATTCTCTGAAAAGGGAGGGGAAAGGATTAGGAAGTGTAGTGATAGAATACTAGGTGATGATTCTGAGGTAAGCCAACAAGTACTCTGACCAAAAGAAAACAAAATATTTTTTGCATTACAGTTTGAAAGGCTTTGCAAACTAGCAGGCAACAGTCTTCCTCACTCTTTTGTGGGTTTTTGTTTCTGATTTCTAAATGAACTGAGGAAAAAATACCTGTTGCTTAACTGGGTTTTAACTATTGCTCCCAATTTAGTTCTTGTTAATCTAATTTCCCATCCATCTTCTGATTAAGTTTCATTATCATACCACAAAACACAGAGAAGTCATGGGTACACACACATTTCCATAGTATTACACATACACATTTGCCAGTCTATTAAAAACAAATCAAACTACAACCACTGGGCTTCTCTTAGTTGGCAAATATCTAAGGCAAAAATCAATGGGTAGCATCCAATAATAGTCCAATAATTACCTAGTTTTCTTAAATACACATCACCGACACTTCCACCTGTTTTACAAATCCATCAAGGATGCTGCAATAACTTCACAGATAAGGAAGCTGGGTCATGGAGAAACAAACTAACCTGTCAAACACTCCACATCCCAACAACTATAGAGCTACAAGAGACTGGCCTGTCTTATCTCAGTCTAATATTTTGGCCTCTTACTTACCTCACATATCAGATAGATTTAAGTAGATCCTGCATAAAAGTACTATAAACCCTCTCTGGCAGAGAAGAGTTCAGTGGCAATGCACAACTATCCTTCTCTCCCACTGCTAGCAATTGCTGCCTACATGTGCTAAGCTATAATGGCCCTTTACTGGGCACCTCTGAAGAAACTAACCTCGAGCGTCCTTTAAAGTGAACTGGTGGAGTCAAAGTATACAGAGATCTCCAAGCAAGGAAACAGGGATGGAGCTCACTCCCACATAAGAGATAGGGCCTAGGTAGCCAGAGCCTTGCAAGTCTGCTTGCTAACACCTTCTAGCTTTGGAAAAAGTATACTCAAATAATGAAAGGGACCCATCACTCATAACCTTGAAGTTCAAAAACTTCAGTTCACTCTGGTACGGATGGAGTAGAACCAGCATTTGGACCTCCAGCAACACACAAGGTCTAAAATCAAGTGCGCTTTTCTTTCATAACTTAAAGAAATAACGCTACTATTTCTAATGACATATGAGAATAAGAGTATAAAATGTATAGCCATCGCTGACATAGAATACTGATGAATACAGTGAAACAATATTGCCTCACAGCTCACAGCTATTACCTGAAACTTCTTAGCTTCTTCTTGAATATGCCCTAGGAAGTATTATAATTAAAGTTCTCTCATGGGTCATCAAAATTTAAAATATATCAATTTTTTTCCAATAAAAGTCAGAATAAAATTAAATTAAATCTAAACAACAACGAAAATATTATATTAATTCAAAATAAATTTAATCCAATGGCCTTTTTAGATTTTCCATGCATTTTTGCAAATCAATTCTTTATATCTCAGCAGAAGTTACAGTAGAGTTTGTCTGTACTTCATCTGATAGGATACTACTTAATTGCATGTAAACTTCCTAGACTATTAGTCCTCCAAAGGCTTGTCCTCCTCCCCATCACAGGGACAGTCATGCTGTCCCCTGGACAGTTTAGTACCCAGCACAGACCGGTACTGCGCAGCTCTAAGTGGTCCTCACTGCCACATCCTCCCAAGCCCCTCACATCGTTACTTCTGGACAAAGAAGGTCGAGCCTCTGCTTTTGCCGCCTTACAGCAGCATCAGCTCATGACTCCTCTACACTGCGTTTCCTTTGCTAGCCGGGGGCCAACAACTCCAAAAGACGACAGAAAGAACAAAAGGTAAAGAAACCCTAAAGATTTAATCACGATTTAGTTAATGAAACCAAGCCGGTTGACTTCTACCCCGGTTCTCCATGCAAGAAACAATAATGGTACTTCCTTATTACACACCAAGTTGCAAGTGTTTAACTAAAAGCAGCACCATGCTTTGGAGGCATAGAGTTCTACATGTTTATTATTAGTTTCCACAAGCTTTTATACAGAGATCACTATATGTTGTTTCCATGCCTAGACGTGCAAGCCAGTAGGATGGTCTAATTACCTTCAGATACCCTAACAAAGCACTGAGAACTCAACTTGGCCAATGAAGTCAGAGTTATATTAACAGTATACCTCCTGCATTTATGTATCTCTTGAATACATATTTTGTACGATTTCCTGCAATATAGACATCATTAACTGTTTGCTAAACCCTACAACAGGTATTAACAATTTGAAAAATCTACGAGTAAAAACACCACACTAGTTCTTCAGTTAGACCTACATAAAAGCAATCACATGCAAAACAATCACATGCAAACAAGGAAGAAGGGAGAGGACAAAACAGTTAAAAGCCAAATACATGAAGTCAAGTTCAGCTTCTAAAAGGAGGAAGCATAAAGGCATCCAAACACTGCCCAAACAGAACACTAACACAGCGCCACATCCAAAGAATTAGCAGTTCCCTGTATCCAAACAAGGAAATACACCATATGCAAATGAACAGACTAGTAAAACTCATTAAGATGGCAAAGATTCCAGCACAAAGCTCAGCATTAAAAAAGAGCAAGCCACCTCAAGGGCAAGCCATCTAGCTTGATGACACTAGAAAGGAAGTATGCTTTCATTTCTTTTTATTGCCAAACGTTTTAAGTCCACGTGGAAGTTTCAGTAGCATAACCTTAAACACAATATAACCCTGACAGAAAGCTGGGGAAGGAAGGGAGGAGGAGTAATAAAAAAAAAAAAAAAAACCAAATAGATAAGAGAGATGGTTCTAGATGAATTTACATGATCTTTTCACACAGTGGCCAATTCCTGTCTTTGCTGCCTGGACAAGAAAAAAGAAACATGGTAAAGGTTCCTGTTTAACAAGCAGCATTAAAAACTATCGTGACTTGCAAATGAAATATAGAAAGGTTAAAAAATATCCTATTATATATGAAAAAGGAAAAGAACTAAATAACAAATTTAATCTCATTTCATTAACAAGATTTCCTTGAAACTTCTTCAGTGAGTAGTACTAAATATTTTTACTGTGATGATTTAAAAAAGTGAATGTGGTTTACTCCACAAGGTAAAATTTATCCTCTGGAAGGACTCAAAGACAAAGGGAACGAAGAAATAAATCCCTCAAAGTCATCAAAATCTGGTTCTCTCAACGTCCTGGCCTTTCGGATAACCTTCTCAATAGAGGTAAGCTCCACTAAGTGTGCCTATGCAGCAAAATTACACATCTTGCAGAAAACTATATGAGACTCAGTAAATAGTTATACGAAAGGTTGCCACAAATAGAGCCTTGGCATTCTTAGCTCTCCTAAGAAATAGCTTTGAAGCTATTCTAGATTAGATTCTAAAATATCATTAAACTGTAGAACTACTTATCAACAGGTGTCAAAAATAGTGCCTTTTGATAAGCATTATCAGCAGGTCAAATAAAGACCTCAACGGTATTGCCAAGGCCAGAGAATCAAAAATGCAAACTTCCACATTCAAAAAAGGCATTACAAAGCTCTGAGCACAGATATAGATGGTGCTGTACTCAAACCACGAATAAACATCTATTTGTCTTCTCTGAAAACAAACATTACCATGAAACTCAGCCTATCACAAATACATCACATGCCTTTGTTAGGAACAATGGGGTGGGAAAGGAGGCTGGAAAGCTGTTGCCTAGCTGAGTGGGTGGCAAGTGGCGGAAGACTCTACCAAAAAAATCCGTTTCTGAAATATAAAAGACCAAGAGCCCAGAAGAATCAGATTTGCTGGCATGGTAGGAGATGGACTTGTTGGTCAGGCAGCAACTGCAGATGCAGCCATTGCCCGCAGCACCCAGCACCCCATGTGCCCAAGTCACGGTGTTGATAGAGAACACAGCAACAGCCAGTCTGGAATTTGGATGTTTTCTTCCCCTACATTACATTGCCACATCTGCCTCTGCACTTCACCATTCAGCAGAAGCAAACAACCTCATCTTCTTACAGTAAAATTCCAATCTGTCTATGGGACTGAAAACCTCTGGCAAGGTAAAAAAGCTCTCAAGAATCCTTGTTTACCATATCCGAATTGCAAATCAATATGAATATGGCACGAGTAGATACCCCCTTCAAAAGAAAATATAAACTAGCAATGTTAACAAAGCAGACTTCTTTAGAGATTTGTCCAGGTCAGCTGTTTTCAACCTGTGAACTACAGATCCTGAGGAGCTGTAAACCACTTCCAAGGGGTCTATGGAGATAAGAAAGAAAAGCAATCCTGCTGGCAGGTGATTTGAATTCACTCCACAGAGAGGCTCGCATTGCCAGAGACAGGTTAAAGGACCCACGCATCAAGGGCGTGAGAAGAACTCATGTAGAAGAGCAAACACGGCTGAGCTACCATCATTGTACTGAAACTACTTGGTGTGGACCGACCCTAGACTGGTACAGGAGGAAGAGCCCGTATCTCCGGGCTCTGCAGCTGCAAAAGAAG